CAAAATTCTTGGGCGTTTTGTTCTTTTTCTTTTTCTCTTTTTTCTTTTTTTTAATACCTTACCTCCTTCTCCAAATAGTCTGAAAACTGAATTTGTGGTACTAACTGTGAGGTAATCTGTCCTAGATAACAAACCATGTGACCCCAAGAAGATGGAGAAAGACACTCTAAAGATGGAAGGATCAGAAAGACGCGAAAGTGAACAATTAATGAAATTAATGGGCGCCAAAAAAATGGAGTTTGTACAGAGGTATTTAGAGAATGTGCAAGAGACATACAGTATGACGACTGAGGCAAGTGACAGCGTTTTGGGAACACTTACTGTTATATCCGAAGAAGGAATAGAAGTCGTGAGAGGTAAAACTGGTTTAACTATCGTTTCTGTTGTTATTTCTTATGAATCGATGTTAACGGTGACTCGTTACAAATATCAAGTTTTCCATGAGTAAAGGAAGAGTGTTGTTAATCAGAGCTTAATGCGACAAATTGCATCCAAATTTGCGTTTGAAGAAGAAAGGAGTATTTTCATTTTGATTTGTATTTCTATTTTAAGTTACATGCAGTTTAAGACGTAGCGCTCGATTGAACTCAAGCCACAAAAAAGATCATCGATATTCTTTTTAGTTTACCCAATGAGAACAAAATAAGTCCAACATAGGGTGTGGTCCATTTTCCGCCCTTGAAAAGTATTCTGTTCTGAAAAGATGGCATAGCTACCATGAATGGCACCATATGTCTGACGTAGTTTCGTGTAGGAATTTTGATTCGGTCAACCTCCATTACCTGCCTCCTTTCCACCACGTCGACAACCATTAAGGCCGTTCAAAAATAATCACTCGAGAACAGCTGTTCAATCACCAACGGGCGAACATCAAACTTCGAGGCTATTCGCTGAGGCAGACAACCCTTGAAATTTTTAATGTACTTAAGGGAAACACAAATGTCTCCAGCGCCAAAAGCGAACGTTTAACAAACTGCTTTTAGTCACCCTTCATTATTTATTTTCCTTTGTTGACATTCAGTTTTTCGCCCAAAATCAATATTTTTTTTTGTTTTGATTCATTTGATAGTATTGTTCATTTTATACCAATATTATTTTAAAAAACTGTCCGACCTACAGAAAAAATAGATGCTACATTACAGCCCTATCTCCCTTTGACAACATTCTCAACAAAGGTTGCTCCTCACGGTGCCAAAGGTGGCCTGATTGGAGAAGTTTAACCGTAATCAAATATTTCTAATCGTTATTTTTCCTTTCAACCTTACTCAGATTCTAAAACACTTTGCGTCAAAGATCTGAGGGAAGAGTCAATTAACGAACTGGATAAGATACTTTCTTCTGATAAACCCTCTCCAAAAATGGGTTGGAGAGGGTTTTTCGATTTTTTGGTGTTAAAGTGGACACAAGAGTTATCACGCAGAAACATGTTTCTGCTATGAAGCCGATTGCAAAAAGCTATCCTAACACTCCTGTTGACCTAATACGGCAATGTTTCGAGGCTCTGCAAATGTACGATCTTGTTGACGTTCTGGAGACGGCGGTGAAACCAATTTCACTTCGTCCTGTCCTTTCCCCGGAAGAAGTCGAGACGTTACGCACTAGTGATCTTCCCACAAAGTCTCACAACAATGTGGCAGTGCTGGTAGTAAATTTCAGTGCGGACCAGGACCTCAATCAAAAGATCGAGCGATTTTTTAAAGATTTAAATTCACAGAACAATGTCACAATAACTGGATCTTCTTTCTCGGAAGAAAACCGCAAGAAAGTGAATGATTTGAAAATTAAGCAAATGGACAAGCAAAAACTAAGCAAGCAGTTAGAGGAACTTGAGAGTGCAACCAGCAAATGTGCAACGAGCAACATAGCATCTGATTCCTCCTATCTTAGAGAAATCGAGATAAAGTCGCACAACTTGAAAAAGAAATAGAGATGAACAAACCGCTTGGGGAGGAGCTACTGAACGAGAATGAGGAGACTAAGACGATCATAACGTCTACAATGGACAACTGGATTCAGAATCAAGGTTGGTTGCAAACTACTTTCTAAGCATGAAAGTGTCGACTGTTTTAGATAGTTCATTATATCAAGGTTTGAAACACTAAAGAAACAAACGTTGAGGCTCACGCATCTTGGAGCAGTTTGAAGGATACGAAACAACAGCCGCTGAGAAATTGACTCACGAAATAATCATAATTTTATTGTTTTTATTGTTTTCGTTCAACAGAGAAATTCACCGCGATTGTTTTAGCTTTCATCGTCGATAAAAGGGAATCAATTAGGATTTTGATGTTTCATCAGAATGTGTGAAGTCCAAGTTGACATCGCTTCCAAATCACACGAAAATTTTGGTTGGTGGTCCATGGAGGAAAGTGATTATTGATATTCCTGAGTTTCTATCTGTCGGTACCCCAATCAGGCTAATGAACTCCTCGATAGTCAATTCGATGATTGAGATTTTCGCCAAGCGATACCACGAAATGGATCTCGTTTCAATGTTGAGAGAATTAGTAAGAAAAAAAGTTATAGTTTCGGGTGAAATCCGAAGCCATCTTTCTACTCATGCAAGGTTTGAGAAAAGGAAAGAACAGAAGCTCGAGCGAAGCTAATCATATGTGAATTTGACGGAACACTATTTGAAATAGGGAACATCAACAACTAATAAATGACCAGTCATCCGATTATTATTTATCGTCAAGGGGGTGGGGGTGGAGGTAGAGGATTTTTGCTGTTAAATTTACCTGGTCCCCCCTTAGGGCTCTGTCGTATTCTTATGATCCTCTCCTCACTGGCAGTCAATTGACTGATCCCCCTCCGTTTTCCCTAAAAAAGGAACCCAGGTAATCTTCCCAGAATCCTCCACTCCCCCTCCCTTAGGGATAAATAATTACTGGTTCCCAACAGAATATTAAGCGCCATCCCATTGTTGTATTTTTATTGTTTTCAACTATCATGGTTATTCAAACTTTTCTTCTTATATTAGGGAGGAAATGCAATTTACATTAAAAGATGTTCATCATGCAGTTGCGGACAAATTCGTTTGCAAAAGCACTACGAATGAAACCTGGGAAAGGAATATACCTGAATCTCCTTTCAAGGGAATATTATCAAAACGATTTTCTTTTTTGAAATTATGCTTTCGGGGGTTTGGTTAATGTTGTCTTTTACTTAGAACTGAACAGTAGAGTTGCAGTGGTATCATAACGCGAAACTAGAATGAACTCGAGCATGCACGCATGCAAGATAGTTTTCTCTTTATTGGCGTTTACATCTTTCGTCCACTTCGACGCTTTGCCCGCTGCGTTGTATCTCCAAGTAAAGGAAAAAGAAAAACCACCAGTATCTATAGAGGTCGCCTCTTATGAGTAAGATATTGATCGATAGCTTTTTAGGTTGGTAGGTTGGTGGATGGGTACAGAATTCATAAAGCTGACATTTATTACACGATGTAACCGAACATCCAAAGCTGATCTATACAAACAAACAACAGTTCAGTAAACTATATTAATATACCATGTAGGAACAGATTATGATGCAAAATTCAGCTTTAAAAACTAGTTTAGATGTGTTAATTGGAATTTTTGTAACAATGCGACAACAATATTTAGTAGAAAACGACTTTAGTGACTCAGAGTTATGCTAGAATTTATTGTCGTGCATAGATTATTAGCTACGGAAACGGCAGTAGTTCCTTTAACGAGATTTAAAAACGTATTTTAAGCAAGGCTCAGTTATTTTGTCAGTCTACTGATCACGAATATTGTGATTGCGGTAGAGTAACCCATGAACTTCAATTTACATCGGTGAGAATCCACAAAGGCTTCAAAAGCAAAGTGATGACAATTCTTTGCAAACAAGTTGAATGCAACTGAGATATTGTAATGATTTCCATGAGATTTATGCATTCAGCCTTCCTTCACTTCTTGACACGCTGTTCTTGTTGTTTCCTAGCGTGCTCTGTTGTTGCATGCATTCTTCCTTTCGTTACTCTCCACACGACCTTTGTTAGTGCTCCTCGGTTTCGAAGATATTTTATCAAGTCGCTCTTTAGGAACATTTGAGTTCTTTTACTATGCATGTAAAAGCACCAATCGGTTTTGCCAATATTCTCTTTTTTTTCATTTTTCTTAAGATATTTGATTAGCTTTAAACAAAAATTAGATTTAAACAAAATTAGGGTATATAATAGGAACTATAAGCCAACTTTCCAAAAAACAAATTATAATAAATAACCGAAGGGAAAGTGAGGAAATTTGCGGTTAATTTTACAGCTTCCTTTCACGGATGATGGTAAAGGAGTGGCTACTTTAGTATTTTAAATAACTTTTTTTTTTATGTTAAAATTCTAAGCTTCTTTTCTCGGGCGCACCAACATGATCCTGGTTAAAAGGAGAATTCTTGAAGCGCCTCTCAATACTTTTTTAAAAGCTTTTACAACACTTTGCACTTTGATGAGACTGCGTGTCATAGCCTAGCCTAGCCTTTTTACAGACGCCAAGTAATTTGAGAAACAAGGTTAGACCACAACACCGGCTGAACCCTTTCCCGTAGTCTGCGCAATCAGATCAAGAGAACTTACGTCATCATCGTCTACGATGATATGACGCTTCCGATATCATCACTAATATTTCCACCTTTGTGGTAACCTTTATCTGTTTCACTTTGCCCTTCAGGTATTTGATATTTGCTTCTTTCTCGCCATTTCTTCACCTAATAAAACCAAAGTATTGATGGATATACAGGCTTGTCAACAAAAATTGAACTAGAGGAGGAAATCAAAACTGTTTGCATTAAACGTAACATTTGTCGGAACTTGACCTCTTTTTTCATTGAATTTGCTCATGAGAGTCTGGGACCGAAGTGGATTTAAACATTGCGCAAGAGCTGTTTTCTAAGAAATTTCGATGTGCGTGACCAGTGAATTGGAGCGTGTTATTTGAGTTGTTCGAACGGGTCTTGAAATACAAACTAGCGTAGCTTACTCTAAGTGAGAAGTGGTCCACACATGACATGTCTGCCATAGAATATAGTTATTTACTGATTGAAATAAGTGAAAAACTTGACGAACTTAGTCCAATCCATCGTCTTCTGTTCACGTGTCGAACGTATCTAACATCTGGAAGCGAAGGCAACATTCAGGATACGCTATCGTTATTGAAGGAATTGGAAGAACAGCAAAATCTTGGAATTGATAATCTGGTGGTTATCAAAGAGCTGTTAAAAGGTTTCAGAGAATGGTCCCTTTTTGGAAAAGTGAAAAGATTTGAGAACAAACGGAAAGAATACAACGCTTTGCTCGAGGCGATAATTCGTGTGCTCGACGAACTCAATGATCTGGAACGGCTCGTCTCAGTTTGCAGAGGAAAGTTGTCTGAAGAAAGTGAAGGCCTTATTGAGAATGTTCGCTCGTTATTCAAGGAACTAGAAAACCAGAATATTCTAGGTCTTGATCGTCTTGATATCTTAAAGGAGATTCTCACCGAAACGGAGAAAAAGGATCTACTCAAGAAAGTGGAAGAGTTCGAGGAGCGAAGAAATAAGGAAGATGAGTTTGAGAGGAAGAAAGGTATTTGTTTTATCATTTTTGCTGTACCGAAGTTTGTCGCGTTTCGGCACTTTATTATATAATATGATGGAACTGGCATATTACGGACGTGTAGAGAACACATTTTTGAATCAAATTCAGCGCCCATACATTTAGTTACTCTGGAAGGTACTTGGCAAATTCCGAGTGCCAAGCTATTAAATTTTTGCTCTGTCTCGAAGTTATGGCGTCCAGTTTAAATGACGGTTTGGGTCTGCGATTCGTATGGCTTTTCAATCCGGCCATTTCGTGTTTTGAAGGCCTCGACCAGCAGTTTCCCCAAAACACATCAAGTTTCCCAAACTATAGTTCTGTACTCTGAGCCCAAGATAAACCAAGCGTGAGGTCGTTGATCTGTGTTTTGGATCGCATGTCACTGCTTAATCGACAACTATATGATGGTTCGTTTGATTTGGGTTCCTTCGATTCTTCAAATTACCAAATGTGTAGGACTGCCGGTCAATTCGTGTATTGAAAACTTTGACCGGCTGCAGGTCATTTAGCCTCAGCGTTATGAATATGTGTACCTCGAACGAATTTCAAGCTGTTTCCGTAATTTTCAATTTCAGTTGTCCAACATCCTCTGAAATTTCCTTCATAATTTTCTTTGTAGATCCGACAAAGTTCTTCGGTCCCGTAGAAATTAGATTCAATTCATTGATCTATTCTGCTTGTGGGTATGCCGGCAAAAACGTCGATTTGCAAGTCATTCGACGCAGTTTTTCTTCCTTCCCTAAGCCTAGAACCTGTCAAACTTCATTGTTTTTACTTGAGTAGCATCTCCGTACTCTAATCAGCTTGAAATGACACTGTTGTATCTGCGCTGTACAGTGAAACCTTGACACCTCAACCGAGGCAGTCACTCCTTTCCATCTGCTGAAAAAAATAACGGAAAGCAAACCTAGAGATTTTATGACTAGTACATTTAATGAACTCTGTTTTTGTATTGGCAAACAAAGTGGTTCTGATGAATTATTAATTTGCCCCCCGCCAACAATTACGATTTTTGCTCACTTATGCAGCTACGAAACCTGGTATGCTGGTTAGTGCTCGTACAAATTACACGTGATCAGTAAGTTTAGATGCCAACTTGATTGCGAGGATTTTTTCTACACGCTTAAGAGATACTTTTTCATTCCACTGTCATGCGTAGTCTATGATAGAATGCCAACAAAGAGATGGTTCACTTGTAAATTTTGTCCAGCTGACTTTCTGCTTGTTATCTTCTAGCACAAGCAGCGGCTCTTGCATCATCCGTCAGAAATTCACTTACTGGAGGTAGGCCGTATCTTGTTAAATATGAGGGGTTCTTTGACACGACTTTGATATAAATTACAAATATGTTGCATGCTCCAATTGATCCAGGGGTGGGTAATGTTGTCCTCTGGATAATTCTCTCACCGGTTGATAGTACAGCGCTTTTTGTTAAAATTATCTTAATTTGAGATAGCTTCTCTTCTCCTTAAACAGCTGGGCCCACATGTGCAGTCATTAACTTTTATATAAATGAGGCTAGCTAATCCGTCACTGTTCCTTTAAGTTGTACCTAGCTAATAACTCATTCTTGTTGTCCTCTAGTGGTAAATATGAAGACTGTATTCAAGTTGTTTGCTGGTGGTTTAGTAATCGTTTCCGCCACGGAGGTCTTGAGTGGCTGGTCCTCATATGACCAGCTTGTCGCTGCTGTACAGAGCTGTGTGCTTCCGGCTGGTACAAGTCTGGTTCAAATCACTGATGGCTGTGTGTGCCTTACAGTTCAAGCTGAAAGTTTATCAGCGCTTACAAACTTGTGGAAGTTATACCAAGATGGAACTCTTCAGAAACGCCTGTACGATTTCTTTGTCACCGATGAGATGAGAAAACTGGCCGAAGGAGAGGATGTGGAGGTGAATGTCACCATCGATGAAGACGAATATCAGAAAGCTTGTCTCGAGTTGATGAATGGAGCTCAAGGTATTGTATGTTGCACAGTTGGTTTCTTGTTACTGTCGCCTCCCCTTCTCAGTCAGCTAAAACGTTTTAGCGTTCAGTCGATGGATGAGTGAAAGGTCGTGAGAGACTAGTGCAGTCGTGATAGAGTTCAGCGTAAATCCTGCCCTTTCCCTAGAGAATTGATACATTCGTCAAAAGGTACAATACAGTAACAGAGGCCTATAATTCATGCTACGGTATGCTATGTACTATGTAGTTTCGTTTGATATTCTCCAGCGTAACCCTAAATTATAGCCATAACCATAAGGCGTATGAATCCACGACCGGAGTACATGCATTAACTCTTACCCCCTTCTATAATGTCTGAGTGAACTTTTTATGAGTTAGATTTTACCCCTAATACGTCTACTTTAGATTTCTTCTTCTTTCGACCTCTACCAATGCTAGTTTTTTTTAAATCTCTAAAATGTTTTTGTAATATGAACTTTGGGAATCTGTGACTAGCCACACGCCATGGATTTCATAAAGTATGATATGTGTTGATTATAACTTTAATGGTATATTTTAAACACTTTTGAGAAATTAGCCACAAAAAAATCCATATCTATTGACACTTCTTTGATCGCTTTTACCAAATCTGTCTCTTTCAGATCATAGCACTTAGTAATGATTTAGTATGTTGTCATGGTCTACGCAAACACTACTTCCTCTTTTTCTTTTGATTAGCTTGTTTGCCTGTTTTTGTTTTGTTCTGTAGAAGCTGAACTCACTGGACGAGAGGAACGAACTCGGAGAAACTCTGATTCAGTTCTGTATCCTAGCGTTAAGGAGGAACTGTCAATGTTAAAGATCAAACGCATCCAGGCAGCATTTAATCAGAGAATGGCAGTTATGAAGAAAGAAATTGAAGAAGTCTCTTTGAAGGTTTTTGGAGATCGTAGTGCTAAGAGGCAGCAAACCATATTCAAGAAAATACCCTACGAGCTTGAAGGTAACGATGTAAATAGTGTATGAGTACATATCACAGCATACCTGAAAGATTAAAATCGATCTGAAGCGAATAGAAGAACATTAATGTGATTCTTTCTCAGAGACCAAAGTACAAGAACTTAAAGAAACCGAGAAAGGACTCGAAGAGCATCGATTGTGGCAACCACACAAGGTCGAGCCAATGGATATGGAGAAGTTTTCCCTTGTACAGAAGTATCTGGAAGATGTCCATGAAACTCGTAGTGTGACGACTGAGGCGAGTGACAGTGCTCTGAGTACACAAGCAGCGGTATCCGAAATTGAAACAGAAGAAATTAGCGGTAAGTTTACCCAAACTCTAGCCCTTTAAAAACTGATGGATTTTTAATAATATTAGCCCCTTACCCCAAGAGCAAACGGCAGTCTTGAAAATTCATAAAAGCAAACTCCATGTTAATATACAGTATATGAGTGCGTAACCCCGTTTCTGAAGTATTTACGGCCTGTTTAATACAGGCTTATCTACTATTATCTTTAATTGTACTTTTCCATTTCATTTGAAGCAGAAAGACTGTGCTTGAGAGATCTCAGTCAGTTGGTCACATCTGAATTGAATCAAAGGCTTAAGGCTGACGCTACTACAATGGAAAAAGTCTCCCGTTATTTCGGTTTAAAAGGTGATCCATTCTCTTTCTCCTTCCTTCCTATTGAACATTTCTTTCCTGACACTACTGTGAGCGTGTTGAAAGAATGCTTTGAGGCCTTACGATTGTATGATCTCGCTGAGATTCTAGCAAAAGTGAAACCACGTGCACTTTGTCCTGCGCTGTCTTCGGAGCAAGTGGAAAAATTGCAACTCGGTGATCGACGCACGAAACACTACAGCAACATGGCAGTTGTGGTAGTTGATGTTAGCAGTGAAAAAGGTGCTGCAGAAATGATCGAAACATTTTTTAAAGATCTAAACCCAAAAAACGAAGTAAATGTAATACCAAATACTAATCTGAGAAATAAGTATCTGGTGCGAAGGAACATTAAGCAGCTCAAGCAAGTGGAGATGCGTGCGATCGTCCAGGAGAAGCAACTCAGATATCGGTTAAAAATCCAACTTTCTAAAACGAGAAAGAGGATTGAGGGGGAAGGCCAGGATAAGAGCAAAAACCCTGAAGGAGAAGGTATGCTGAGAGAAGGTGACTCGAGGTGCCGGCGATCTTATCATGATCCTTCGCCAATAGCGAGGGTGATAGTTTTTCCAAAGGAAGGCCAGGAGAAGGGAAAAAGCCCTGAAGGAGAAGCCATGGGGGTAGTAGGTGACTCTCGGTGGTTTTATCATAATCCTTCGATAGTGACAGTGAATATTATTCCGGATGAACTTTTCCTGAGAAAACAACTTGAGACCAAAATGGAAGAAATTACGAAACTTAGAGAAGGAATTAAAAGGGAAACTGAGCGGATTGAAGATATTGAAAGGGAGGAAAGTGATGTAGAGTTGGCCGTGCTAAATGTCATGGACAAATGGATCCAAGATCAAGGTTGGTAAATTTGTACAAACTCTAGGAAGTGACTATGGAAAGACGTGTTTGTAGAATCTTTCCGCTCACCTCTGCCTTGCTTCTCTTTGTGTGCTTTTTTAAGTCCCTCTTGTATATCCCATTGTCAAAAAGTCAGTTTCTAGTAGTCATTTAGAATATTATTGTGGTGTTCTGGAAGCTGGAAACCTTCGGAAACCGTACAAACATTCTCGCTTTCCAAATTTTTTAGAAGGCATTGCGTACAAAATGGCCACCATGTTTTTCTAAAAAAAGAAAAAAAAAAGGTTGTATGGATATGTTTTTTTTTGAACTGCGGAATTTTAAAAGATAGAAAGGAAAAATCGCTGGACATTCATGGCTTAGAATTCTGTTAAGCCTGAATTATTTTCATGACTTGTTTTCGCAACTGCTTTAATTGTGTTACAAGCTGCAATGATCTTGCTTGTTTTTAGTACGTGATTCCAATCAAATAGGAACGCTCCCGGTGTTTGTATATAAATCCTCCTTGATTTAAGGATTGATAAATTTTGTCTGTTGGTTTTAACCACGATAGTTACTCACTTTGTCACATAGGTAGCATTCCTTACAAACACAGTGGCTCTACAAGTGACGCTCATACTTGCAAACAATGGTTCTAGACAGGCACCTTGTTCGATGGATTAACACGGGGAGATATTTGGGAGTTACAAGTTATTTATCCAAGTAGTGGCGAGGGATAATAAGGGCAATTACAACAATGTTCGCTTGTTTTATATGTTAAATCATCGAATATTTTGCAATTGTCCTGTACTTTGAGCTAGGGATCTTCGAATTTCGTCCTTTTTTGAATGGATAATTTTGCACTTGTTTGAGCACATCAAAACGCTATCTGAAAGTAAATTAAACAAGAGATTGGGGCAAGTTCACCTTTTGCTGTTCATTACGAGAAAATGCGCACCATTTGCGTGAAAAGGCGAACAATTGCGTAAAGTTACATTCATTGGCGAGAAAAAAACGATCGTTTGCGCGTAAATCAGATTCAATTACGATTTTTGCATTTTAATCAGCATTCAATTACATTTTTGGGCATTCTTATGCGTCATTTGTCGCACAAAAGGGAAAAATATACTTTCATTTGCGCTAACCATCAAGTCATTAACACCATTATGAAAGTTAATAGAGACAATACACAAACAGTATAATGCACAAACCAATTGTTAACATTTTTATTTCACTGTTTGCAATTTAAGAGCATCCCTAGACGGCGTAATTAATAGTTTGTACAAGCGCATTAATGATTGTCTCAATCATATTAACGCCGTCTAGGAATGACATTGAATTGCAAACAGTGTAATAAAAATGTTAATAATTGGTTTATGCATTATACTGTTTGTGTATTGTCTCTGTCTTATACCCAAAAATGTTAATAATTGGTTTATGCATTATACTGTTTGTGTATTGTCTCTGTCTACTACCCAAAAATGTTATTGAATGCTGATTAAAATGTAAAAATCTTTAGAAAATCTGAATTACGCGCAAATGATCATTTTTTTGTCCCTAACGAATGTAACTTTACGCAATCGTTCGCCTTTTCACGCAAATGGATGCGTATTTTCTCGTAATGAACAGCAAAAGTGTACCTGCCCCAATCTCTTGTTTAATTTACTTTCAGTGTTCTGGGTATCTCCCGAGGGGATACCGAAAACGCCAGCATTCTGGGTACGGGTATACCCAAAACGCTACGGCATCGCCAGACTCAGTGAAACGTGGTCTTTTCGTGTCGCAAGCAATAACGCCTTTGAAAGATATGGTTAAGCCTTACATTTTGGACGGCCGCTTACGGAGGTTCGACTACGTCCGCGGATTCATAATTTTGTTTAATTTTGGTGATAATAGTAGGATAATTTTCATGATGTCATTGTTTTTTCTGTTTTTGCGCTCTTCTGGTTTATTTCGTTTGTTTTGATTTTCTTTTGTTTGCATTTCTTTCTTTTAGTTTGTTCCTTTTCTAATTCAGTGATACATTTATTGGTCTTTTGTTGTAGATGGATCCACCTTCATTGCGGTATTTTTAATCTGTACTGACCATAGGGCTCAGCATATTTTTTCCGAACGCCTTTATGAATCTATTGAGGAGAAGTTGGCATCAATTCCAGATCATGGGAAACTCGTGGTGAGCCCTCCTGGATGGAAAAGTATCAGTAAAATTCCCGAAACCCTTCATATAACATTGAAGCAAACTCGTGACGACTTCGTCGAAAGAAAAGCAGTAAACGATTCGCAACTTTTCACTTCATTCATTGAAATTTTCAAGAAGCGTTGGCCTTCGTTGGACCTTATTTCAATGATGAGAGAATTTAAAAGGACTTGGCGAAATCATTTAGAAATGAAGGACAATTTGTCTACTCTGCCACGGTTTTAGGAGGTAAACAAATAGATTGTTGTATAGATTATGGTTTATAATCTTATAATATCTGTATGAACATAGATATTTCTTAAACCGTACTATTCTAGTCGTAAATATGGAAGTTCAAATGGTAAGAAGGCGGGCCGTCATATGACAAATTGGTTGCTTATACCCATGTAGCGATATTATATATCGCCTTCCCCTTTTGTTGTGTATGGGGAAGGTAAGATGGCTTGAGGTAACATATTTTCGAGTAGATTTTCCAGAAGATACATGTAAGCATGGCAAGCTCAAACAACCTCCCCCTTTTTTTACAAATAATTGTAAAAATTATTTTTGAGACGAAAGGGGACTTAAATGTTCCGCTTCTCAGTTCCATGAATTACTTAAGTACATGCTTAACTCTTACTTAAGTTTCTACAACTCCTTAATGGAAGCCTGCATTCCAACTGTACAACAATGGGTTTGTGTTTCCGCCCAAAACCATCTCGAGAACAACAGGTGCTTGTGCTTAAAACCACTTTAGGCGATGTTTTACTCGGGTGTGAAAATTTGTGTACTCATTCAAAAGTGTGCAGCTCAAATGAAAAATCAAACGAGACTACGAAAGGTAATTTTAAATGTGGTAAACGCAGCTTGTATTTTGTTGAAATGATAGTTGAAATGGGTACTTAATTTACAAATTAGGTCCCGCAAACGGGTCAACTCCAATGAAAAATATTCGATAATCGCTCAAACAAACATTGTCCTCTAGAGAGGTGATCATAATGATTTTTTCTTGCACGAAAACTAATTGAAAAACATTCAGTATTATGTTTACTTGTACGAAAAATAAAGAAAACATTATTCATTAGAAAGAGGTTATCGTGGTTATCATGTTCAAACTTACAACGTCTATCCTTTCGCAAAAACCTTTCCCCCTGGACAACGAATTCTAAGTGACTGAGGTGTCCAAAACCTTTCCTCCCCACCTTTGTTACTAATCCAGTCCTCGGGCTGTGTTCGAGTGCTAGCCTTGACGTTAAGCCTCCTGCGCTTTAAGTGGCCAGGCTAGATCAAGGCGAGTGAAGCCCATTCTCCTAGAGATCAAGTGTTTGGTTTAATGCTCTCAATGCAAAACAGCCCGCTTGACTAAACAACCCAAAAGCTCACAAGGGAACCTATGTAGGTATGTCAAGAATTGTTTAACATGTTCAGATTAGGTAACCAATTGATTAAACTTAATGGATCATCGTTGCGCACAGTAGATCTGAAGGATTATCATTTCTCACAAAATTGCTAGCTTGATTTGAATAAACGGACACTGATTTAAATGAGACAGAGCCGTGAATTCAATGATCTACCATGAATTGCATTCTGGGTGGATCTTGATTCATCATGGTGGAGAAGTTTGGTTTAGATAAGCGATGTCCGATGGTTCGAGGAGGCTTCTTATCCGGCCATGATTTGCTGCAAGCCATACCTAGACGGTTAATATTAATAGCATGGTATCATTAGGAAATCAGCATTCATATACTGATTGCATATAAATCAGCCTCATTTTATCTCTCCTAAAATTCCTTGCGCCGGCTTGTATAGGGCCCGTATAGCCTAACGTTTAAGAACTATTTTCCTAACAAAGCATCACCCTCTATCGGATTGTCTGGGCTCTGTTTCCAACAATAACTTCCCATTTATTGGTTGATCCTTACTTGTACAACTGAAAACTTACAGCAAGTGGAAGACTTTCCTCTCTACTACGCGTTATGCTAGTAAACAATGCTTTTTATTAGTCCCTAATCTCTTTTCTCTACTTACTGCGTAAGACTGCGTAAGCACACGATACCAAGAAGCATGAGTAATTCCTAACGGCGGTGATGATCGTTACTAACAATATATTTATTTTTTGGTCAAGCTACTAATTCTTGTCGCATCGATGAAAGGAACGTTTGTGATATCAGGGCATCTGTAATTCCACGTGATAGACTGAGTGTGTCACCCTCAATTCAATTTCAGGCAAACAAATCTTGACTCTGATTCCGTATGACTACGTTCTTAAGATGCCTGGTGCCTTTTTGCTGATGGTGTGTCAGTCCAGCGACGTCTTCCAGAGGATGATAATTCTGTGAGTTCGGGCATTGGATACAAATCACAACAAAGAACGAACATCTGAACGATTGACTCAAATTCCACTTTCAAGAGCTAAAATGAATGAAATGTCGAGAGTTTTTTTATCACAGTTATCTTGATAAATGTCTCGTCAGGTACTCAGACCCTATCCACCTTAAACAAATGGGGTCAGGGTCTGGAAGCTCGCGTGACGTTCGCACATCGTCGGTTTTCGAACGTCACGCGAGCTGGTGGTTAATCATGCAACACTTTAAGTCACCAATTCTTCCGCCAGTGTCCGCCATGTTGGTCGGCCAACAACCATCAGCGAAATTCTGCATCTTCTTCGCGCTACAGAAGACCCATATATTCAGAAAATATGTTTGAAATCGAGTATAGTGACCTTCTATTTGAGATAAGTTCGAAAATTGGCGTAAACCAATTAGAAAGATTGGTTTTTATGTGTAGAAAGCAGATCACAAAAGGCAGTGAAAGAACGATTCAAAATGCACTCGAATTATTTGAAAAACTTGAGAAATGGGATAAACTCGGAATCAACTGGTTAGAAACTTTAAAAAAAGATTTTAAAACAGTTAGAGAATTGATCCATGTTCAAGAAGGTGGAAGAGTTTGAGAACAAGAGAAAAGGTGCTCAATTAATGCTAGTCATATTTGTTTTGAAATTCAGCGAAAGAAATTTGAAAAGCCGGAAGTGTCTAATTGCTCAAGAAGTTCAATTTAAGGCTTACAGCTTCTTCATTGGTGACAAAGGAGATAATTTCTTGTTAAGAGGGATTATGTATTTATATGATAATTTTATTTAGCAGTTATTGCTTTGGATTTTATTATTTTTGAATTTATTTTTCTGATTTGTAATAATTCAATCATGAGAAATTAATCTGTGGCCCTAATTCCGTTTTTTAGGGTGTTTACCATGGAATAGAAAATTTTATAAGTTCAGGTATGCATTAAAATTTTACAAAAATTGATTTCTAGCACATTTGTAATTAAGTTTATAAAAAGCATTTCATGGACTTGGGCTCTTAAAAGGGTTCATTTATGTCTAGTAATGAAATGAAGAGTTTTTTTGTGATTTGTTTTGTCTATGTTACAGTAAGCATGCTGTTTTGTTCCATTGTTTAAAATTATAATGTTCAAAGGATTAAATTATTGGACTAGGCTTCAGATTAAGATTTTTAGAGCTCTACTCTGTGTTTGAACATGTAACCTACATACACATGGAGGGTACAATTGTTGTGGTGATCCACATTTAATGGGTCATCCATGTGTGTCAGACTTAAGCTCAGGTGACTCACATTTCAGCCCTGTTCAGGGTTCACTTGTTGTGTCCTAGTTAAAGACCTCAAAGACTAAGTTTATAGTGATAGAGTTAGAGGAGAGTCGTTATCAAAAGCTATGATCCACTGAATACCAGGATTTGTTCTAGCTTTTTACTAACAATTTTTCTGCTCCAATTGAGACTTTAATATGATGAACTGTGAAAGGGAGAGAAAAAAATTGTCAAGACAACCTTAAAAGGCTGGGTGGATGAAACCTATGGTACATTTGATGGGGGGATGTCTTGCTACCCAACTAACTGACTAAGGGACATTGACATTGTGCTCCATGACCATGTTGGCTTGGTATTCTGCATTTTAGCTGTACAGTGGTATCAAGGCGCTGTCTAAGTGGAGTGATAACACCACTTACATTTACTTCATAAAAATTAACACAAAGGTTTAAGCTCTGATCTCTTGACCCTTTACACCTTACCATCAGTATGGATATTCTCCATACTGTTCTGTATACATTTATTAAGGTGCTGATAATGAGAATTTGTTCAACAATCAAGAAGTTTTTCAGTTGGTGATATTTTCTTTATTCTAGTAATCTTCTTTGATTCAGGGGCAATATTGTAAGGAGAAATTAGATGCTAGTCTCTCTTAAAAGTCAAGGGGTTGAACATAAAATAGTCAAAAGAAGGGATGACAAAAAAAATAAAAATTATGCACATTGGCAAAGTTTAGTTTTTCTACTGATAAGTAAGCATGTTTTAAGTGGCATATTGTGTGTACTTAATCAGTGGATAGCATTAAAGGTGCACTCTCATATGCATGATGATCTGGCTACTCAAACTCTGAATATCCTTTGCTATTGACCTCAGAATATCCTTTGTTATTGACTATCAAGCAACTTGCAGATTTGTGCCAGAAAAGATTGTAATTGCTCATTTTTGGAATTAAAAGTCATTTTTTTTGTGCTTTATTACCTCACTGTTTTAGTAAGTACTAAAATAACTATTCCTCCAATGTCTGTGGCTAGCAGTGAATATATTAACTTCCCTTATTGTTACTCAGTAAATATCTATAACTAGCCACCTCCACTTTGGTGACGAGTTGTGACATAGTTTAGTAATTCATGGTACTTGTATGTCTTCCTTTTTAATTTTTACATGGATTTAGTAATGTTGGTCTTCACAGCTGTTGTTATCTTCACTGTGCAGTAGCTTAAAGAGCATTGGGGTCATGGAGAGAGATGGAAATCTCTTTAATGCAGATGGAATTGAGCCTAAAGAACTTGAGAACTACAAACTGGTGCAATGTTTAGCTTTTAACATGCAAAGTTCTCTAAAGTGTCTGTATATGTATATATATAAGTTTTATTTTAGAATTTCCTTAGCTAACATTTGCGAACTGTTTCCTTTTTTGTCAAGGACAATAATGGGTCAGTTAAAGGTTTCCCAGGTGCAAAGGTTTGCGAAATACTGTGAAAAAATAACTGTGATTCCTACCTCTATGTAAGGTTCACTAATTTTTTATGGCTAATTAACATTCTTGCTTAGGTTTTACAAACTCAAGGAAATGCTGCTCTGTTGATTCTGCTCTTTTAGTCCTTAAATAACGAATAATGAGGTGAACACTGGGGATATGAATTTTTAATGAAGTAGTTCCTTCCTCTTAGAACATAAGCAAGTTGAAATGTTATAGGAGTTCAACCTTCTAGAAGCAGAATGTGACATATTAGTTCCTAGTAGTATTTAATTATTTAATCTTGGGCTGTTATTTGGTTATTAGGTTTTCAAGCTTGGTTACTCACTAGTGATAAAGGTTATCCCAGTTAGTCAGGGGAATGGGAATCTATAATAATTTGTCAGGGTTTCCTGACATATCTGGTGATGTTAATTTTCAGTCAACCCTTTATTTCCCATGAGTGATGATGACACAATTACTCCTTACAATATCAATATACATATCAAGAAATGAATGATGAGTATAAAGAAAGTAGATATTAGGCGGATGATTAGTTGAACCAATACCAAGCTCTGCAAACTAACATGATAAGAATTGTATGGTACACAGTAAAGAGAATTACTCACTAGATCTTGGGAAATGATTTATTTAATTTGTCTTTTTGTAAGCACAACATAAATGTTTCAGCCATCGATAGAATTTGTCCCTCTTGATCCAGAGTTTCCCATGCTTACCACTAGACCACCTTGTTCCTCCTTGTAGTTGTCAGAAATGTTGATTTTTTTCCTTATGCTATCTCAATTCCATTGAAATATAATTTTAATAAAGTTTAAAAATAAAGTGCGAAGAAGAAGGGAGAAACACTCAACTATGTCTCATGTTTCTCCTTTGCTTCTTTCACACTCAAGCTGCTTCCTGCATGCTTTACAACAGAACAGAACAATTAGTCAAGGCTTCTTAATATTTGTTAAAAGCAATTCAGTAGACAACTTAACCTTTATGTGAATAGTAGACAGTGAAGACCATCAGGTTATGTTTTTTTTTCTTACTGACTTTGTGTTTTCAGGTTATTGCTGAGGGAGCAAATGGGCTGACTGCACCGGAGGCTAAGAAAGTTCTGATTGAAAATAAGAACTCATTATTCTAGTAAGTTTACAATAAAATGGTGAGTGCAATCTGAATTAAATTGCTATATGAAGTTCTTGTATTTGTTTATCATAATTAATTTTTGCACTCGATAAATTGCTTGAGTTTAAATGGATGGTGTGACAGTATTCTATTTTGAGTGGCTGAAGAACATCAATCATGTCAGTTTTGGACGTTTGACTAGGAAATACGAGAAGCAGGCAAATTTTCATCTTTTAGGTGAGCTAATGTCTTTTCACCATGAATATGTTTAATGATGGATCTTAATGATTCATTTTGTTTTAGAGATAAGCAATTTTACTATGAGTATCAAGTGATCTAAGACAACATTGCCTTCACCACATAAAATAGTACAATATGACTGAGAGCATGAGTTGCAGTTTCCTTTCAACCTCAAATTCTCATCACGACTAATCTTGCCCTTTTTCCCAACTGCATAAGTTTTCTTCTTCTTTACTTCATTAGCTACCAGAGACAGCTCACCTTTAAGGCCATTTTGCTTGTTAAACTTTTTTGGTGACCTCTTTGCATAGCTTTAAGTGATTAAGAGTTTTAAATGACCCCTTATATACAAATGGATTGTACAAGTGCTGTTATTAATTTTGATTAAATTTCTTAGTGTTTCTGCATGTTTGTTCTTTTTCACCAGGTAGTGTCTTAGAAAGCCTGAATAATCATTCCAAAGAAGTCATTCCTATAAAACCGTTGGCTGAGTTCCTGCAAAAGATTGTTGTGAGCATTGCTTTCTATTTTCAGTTTATTAATATGAACCACAGAGGTGAATCTGGGGAAGGGGTGCAGAGGGTGTGCCACCCCTCCCCCTGTGATGACCTGTGGCTTTTTTATATCACTATAATGACCTGCAAAAAATTTATTTGTGTCCCCGTGTCAGTTACGTCCTTCCTTAGTGGTGCACCCCCTCCTTAGAAAAATCCATATCCAAATTCATGATTCTTCTCTGCACCCAGCATAGTTGATTGAGCAGTGCCACCTTTATTAATTTTTTTGCGACTCAGATGCTGTGCAACCCAAATAAACCCAGCTTTTCTAGATGTGATGTTTATTTGGGGGAATCACCTATCAATATTTTAATCTCCCTTACATTGCTTATTTTGGGGGGTGGTGCTTCATCAACGGCAGTGTCCTATCGAACAAACATGATGGTTAATTTTGTCTCCAAATGGCTTGTTAACCCTGAGACGTAAGATTCATATCTGAAATATAATGTAGACTTAATTTTATTTTGTAGGGTGGAAAATGTTTACCTTTTCGTTTTCATTACATTGAAGAAAAAAGTTTGTAACCTTATTGTGATACCCAAGGGCGCAAATGAAAAAGACATTGTTCATACTGGATTGGAGTACACCATGGAACAATCAGCTAAGGTACATCTTCTCCGTGACGGATTCCAAGTTTCTTCTCAAAATTATGTCCGATTTTTGTCCTTAACTTGGTTGCTGGGCTGTCGACATATCACTAGCATTCCCGGGAAAGACAAATAACTGGAAAACAAAGTCCACTTTTGGTCCGCTTTGGCATTTATTTCTCTTCTACAAATTTTTAGCTCAAATATGTAGTATTTTGCTTTGCGAGAGTTTGTGAGACTTCCTAAAGGTTGATTTTTTTGGGGAAAAGAGGTTATCCTCTCAGTTGTCCTCCCATTTTTCTTTACAGGTATCTAAACATAGAATCTGGTATGACCTATTGTGAATGAGAAAAGACTGTCCCCAAAAGAAAACAATGACCGGGAAACATCTTCTGAAAGAGTTTATGAACAGTGTTTCTAGAAGAGTGATGGGTTCGACTCTTGATTGCGTATTTTTCACAGTCTTTTTATCAATAAAAAGTGAACTTCGTTTTTTCTTTTCCCATTCAGAAAATTATTTACTGTGCCAGTGAGCACGACCTCGGTCTAGACATTAGGACGGCTGCTTACATTATGTCCATGGAAAAAGTCTATGTAGCGTATAGCGTCGGAATAAACTTTATTGACAGGAGTAACGAAAAAGTCAATAAAGGTTTATTTTTACACACAAAATGTCTACTTCCGTGAAACATGAAAACGAGGCTGAAAAACGTCATACGCCACAGGTAATTTGGTGTTGACAACTGAGTTGAAAACGTAAATTGGCCACCGTAAAGAGTTATAAGGCTGACGTTTCGAACGTTAGCCCTTCGTCAGAGCGTTAGCCCATCGCTCTAACGAAGGGCTGACACTCTCTTTACGGTGGCCAATTTACGTTTTCAACTCAGTTGTTAACACCAAATTACTTGTTATACTCTCCCACCGACGCAGCACCACAGTTTCTTTAGAAACTTATCCCCTTTATTCATTTGACAAACACCACAGTCTACAAAACATTCACTGTGGCTGATTACACATTTACGTAATCATCCTGTGAACATAGTACCAATGATAAATTCTTAGATAACTTTCCACTGGGCTGAATGTATAACTTGAATTTGTACGTACGATATTTTTTTATAGAAGCGTTTACTCCAGCGGTCATGTGTTGACAATGATTGTTGTGTGGTGTAAACAAGATAAAATGAATGTTTTTCTTGAATTCCAAATAACGTTCAGTAGCTGTCGCTTGTTTGTGTAAAACTGCCCTACGAACTGCGACTCTTATTTATACTTGAATTTACCGTGATATAAATAGACATTCAAATAATAATAATAATAATAATGTTAAAAATTAGAAATCCTTACATCAAGAAATAAATGAGAGCTCTTTTCCTATAATGAGCCCGGTTATGTTACTCTTAATTTTCTCAATTAAAAACCGTAGTGCTATGAGCCACCTAACTATCCCACTTGTTAATTAAATTTTTCTTCTTCCCTGGACTCGTTGGCATACACGTTTATAATATACAGCAATATTGAATTGCTCGGTGAAAGTGATGAAAATGGCTGTCAGTGAGGATGCGGACAATTTAAGCACTCTCGACCCCAGAGCTTCCCTCTTACTTTCTCAGGCTGGGAAGCCGAAGTCGAGTAAAAACTCGCGCAAACTCAGTTCCAGGAATTTAGTTGCGTGACTTAAAGTAAGCGCCTGGGTCCGGGCTCTGCCATGTTGAGTAGATCGCACGGAACCGTAAGAAAGAGAGCCTTCTGCAAGACAAGAAAAGAAGTGGTATGAGCATAGATCTAAAATGTCCACCATTGAATATAATAGTTTGCTCTTCGAAATAAGCGAAAGGATCGACGGACTGAATGCACTCCAACGTCTTGTTTTTATTTGCCGCGGGAAGCTAACCCAGTCTGGCAGTGGAAACGTACACGACGGACTGTCATTGTTTAAAGAACTAGAAGAACACGGTTATCTAGGAATTGATCGCCTCAAACTAATGAAAGAGCTGTTGAAAAGTGTTAAGGAATGGTCTCTGATTGGAAAAGTTAAAAAATTCGAGAATAAGCGAAAAGAATACAAAGGCTTGCTTGAAAAGATTATCTGTGCACTCGACGAACTCAATGATATGGAACGGCTGATCACGTTATGTAGAGGAAATATTCGTGAAGGCAACATTGGTAACATTGTTGATGTTCGCTCCTTGTTCGAAGAGCTAGAAAATCAGGAAACTCTGGGAATCGACTGCCTCGATGTTGTCAAGGTCATTCTAGCAGAAACGGGAAAGACCGATCTTTTCAAGGAAGTGGAAGAGTTTGAAGAACGAAGAGACCAGGAGGATGAATTCGAAGCAAAGAAAGGTATTTAGTTCTCTGTTTTCTTCATTCTTATAATAATGGCAGTACTCATAGAAGGTAACTATAGGATCATAGTTGAGTTCTGCGAAAGTGTGATCCTACAAAATTCCATTGTCTTCCACGAGATCTTTAGGAAGGAATTTAATTTTCTCACGGCCGGTTTGGTCGCTAGTTTAGTTCGAAAACATTCCCATTGGACTGAATTTTTTTTATCGGTAACTGAGCTAGTGGTAGGCGTTTAGAATGCAGGGTAATGTTTGTGTTAGTGGGAAGTTGGTGTCAGAGTGTTTCTATATTTATGCGGCCGTTATTATGTTTAATTTAAGCATCACCCTGCAAGTGGCCAGACCCTTTCTTGTGGTGATGGTCAACAAGATCCGACGTATTTTCCTTATAGGAAATGAAAACTGAAGCCCCTTGTAACTGTGCCGCTCTTGTCTTCATGTACAAGCTATAGGTGAAAGCCTAGAGAAGAAATGTAATGTCTACGCCGCGCTCTGCTTCGCTTTTTGGGCACCAAAGCGTTACGAAATGTGAGACTGTTTATTTTCTTTCGTTGACACATCATAGTCTAGAAGTCTGAGAGTTTCTTTTGTGTATTTCTTGTTCATAAACTTGTTTTATCCACTTAGATCTCAAAATTTTACAAAGTACGTGAACTTTTCAGAGATTCTGCAGTGAATTAGCTAAAATCGATTGATAGCTTCGTTGCCCCAGTTATTATCTTCGCCATCAGACAATTGATTGTTTGTTGCAGATTACATTCAGATTTAAAGAAACAAATTGCGATTTCTTTAAATATTCAACAAACTGGTTTGTTTGGGATCGAGTATTATTCTGAATGATAATCCCTAACCCCAAACGCTTTCGTGGCTTTAAAGAACAGAAAACCTAAATTTAATGAGAGGAGCGTGGCGTGACATCCCGAAGACCGAGCGAGAGATAAACGCCAATCACAGCTTGTGTTCACAGCTATACGTAGATGTTAAATTCTTGGACAAAGTAGCCTATTCCAACTTGACCCTTGATATAAATAAGAAGGAAAGGGGGGCTTCGGCTGTTGCACATCTCAATGGACAAAAACTGGGACAAAATATACCTCTGTGATCATGTTACTCCACACTGTGCAAACCTTGGCTTTCTTAATTCAACACACTGTAAGATCATACGTGTCAACTATTGTGGGATTGCATAATAAAAAACAACAGCAACAACAACAAAAGAAATACAAATATCAACCTATCCCTTCTATTTGAGCCACATAACTATGCTATTCAAGGTATCAGAATAAATATATTAAGAAAATTTGGCCCATTATTAGTGGATGCAATTACTGGAATGAAATTCCTCTGCATGTATCTGTACAAAAAAGCATACACTGCACCAGTATTAGTTTGCTTGGTGTCAACATCTTGATTATTACCATCATTGTTATTCTCTTTGAAGAAGTATAACATGACACAGTTACAAGGGCTCTTAGTTTGTCTTGATCAACCTTTGCGCTCCCTATCTATTTATTATTTATATTATAATCCCTTTTTGTTTATTTTATGTTTGACTCTTGCAAGTTTCAGCTTCATTATGCTACTTTTGTGGTATGATGAATGTTGTTGCCTATGCGTATTTGCATTCAGTCTGATAAGGAAGGGAGAAATGTTACCACAACACTGAAAGTTTCATTCTAAAAAGTGCTGTTATATTTTGATGACCCTTCATTCCAAGGGACTACCTACTTTTATGAGCTTCCTTCCCAACCTTAAAATTGGCATATCCAGCAAATTACTGAGCTAGTTACTTGCCTCACTTTGGATGAATGTCCAGAAAAGGAGCAAAGTCTTTTGACCCACATTTGCTGTTTCTTTTATTTTAGAACAAAGAGCTGCTCTTATGTCTTCTGTTAGAAGCACACTAATGGGAGGTGAGCTTTTTAAAATTTTATTTGTGTTTTTCACTTATTTAAAGGTTGATGTAGGATTTCCTTTCTGTCTCTGGGACATAACATGAAGAGACAATTAGGAAGGAGACTGGTGACTTTAAGAAAAAACCTTCGCTTCCAACAGAGAGCCAGTGCGAACTAAATCACTACTCATGATTTTCTACTCATGACTTTCCTGACTTTTCAGTGGTAAACATAAAAACAGTATTCAAAGTGGTTGCTGGTGGCCTTACAGTCGTTTCTGCCATGGAGGTACTGAGTCGTTGGTCCTCATTTGATCAACTGGTCGCTGCCGTACAAACCTGTGTGCTTCCAGCCGGTACTAGTCTGGTTCAAATTACTGATGGCTGCGTGTGCCTTACAGTTCAAGCTGAAAGTTTATCAGCTCTTAAAACTTTGTGGAAATTGTATCAGGATAGAACCCTTCAGAAACGACTGTACGATTTCTTTGTCACTGAGATGAGAGAACTCGCCGAGGGAGAGGATGTGGAGGTGAATGTCACCATCGATGAAGGCGAATATCAGAAAGCTTGTATCGAGCTTATACCAGGGGTCCAAGGTAACTCAGCGTTGCTATGTTCGACGTACAATTAGCAAATTTCTGAGCCCGGATTATCATATGGATAATCGTCGGATCATATCGATGGATCGTGTTTAGCATTCCTTGATACATATTTTATTGTCTGCTTTGAGGGTAAAAAAACCAAAAGGAAATAAAACGAAGGGCGTAACTGTCTACTGCATATTACTGTGTTTGTGACCGTTCTCTATGTAGAATCCCCCACCCCCCACCGGAAAAAAAGTGAACCCCCCTTCTTCAGGGTTTTCAAGTTTCTTGGGGTTTTTTCATGAGCTTTCCCAACTTCTCTTCTTTTTCTCAATGCCTCAAATAGTTATTGCATGAACAAAGTCGTACAGAAACTATTTATTACGGATACGGTTGCTACGGAGGACAGAGGCCCATTAGTGCTTAACAAGTAAATTTTTATTTTGTCCGTTTTATCTAATGTGTGATGGATGGAAAAATACAAGTAATGAGCTCGGACAATTAGAAGGAGCAGATTGACTTCTCCGTGTATTCTTAAATATTTCTTGGTAATGATATTTTTAACTTAATATTGCAAGTTCGAAATCAGACTCGGGCACTATTTCTCAACAATTTACCTAAAGTTGTATCTAATCCTACCACTTACCTTTAGGGCTTTCCTTTGAAGAGTAAATTTATCGAGCTAATAATATCAGATTTATAGTTATCGTTCATTTTTATTTTATTACTTTAAGGAGGTGCAACCATTGACTATGTTGAAAGAAGACGACGAAACTCCGACTCAGCTGTGTATTTCAACGCAAAAGAATTGCCACTGTCGAGGCTTAAATGTCTAGAAACTGAAGTGAAATATCTCCACAACAGTATCGCACTTCTGGAAGGAAAAAAAGAGAATTTGGGGTCGCATCCTTTCGAGCAAAAGGAAATTGCACCTACAAGATCATCCGATGAAAATTTTGGTAAGGACTGATTTTGAAATTGAACACTCTAAGCTCGAAGTTTGTTTTCTTTTTTCGTTTTTCTAGTTGTTTTGTGTTATGCTGTTGTCATGAATTACCATCCTCAGCATTTCGTTTTGATTGTTATGTTACCAAGTTCCTTAAATAGTATGAAAACTTAGATCACCACTGAAAACCGCCATGGCGAGTTTGGTTCCCTCATTAAATATTACTCTTATTATTACTATTGTTATTATTATTATTATTATTATTATTATTATTTTATTTTTTATCATTATCATCATCATCATCATCATCATTATTATCATAAGTTATCACGGCTCTAACTGTGAGGTAATCTGTCTCAGATTACAAACCATGGGACCCCAAGAAGATGGAGAAAGACACGATAAAGACGGAAAGATCAGAAGATCTCGAAAGTAAACTAAAAATGAAGTTAATGGGCGATGAAAAAATGGATTTTGTTCAGTGGTATATAGAGAATGTGCACGAGACATGTAGCATGACGACTGAGGCAAGTGAAAGCGGTTTGGGAACACGCACTACTGTGTCCGAAGAGGAAATAGAAGACGTGAGAGGTAAAACTAACCGTTGTTTCGGTCGTTATTTTCAATAAAACAATGTTAACGGTGACTCGTAGCAAAAGGAATAGGGTTGTCAGTCTCAGCTTATTGCAAGAAGTCGCATCCAAATTTGCATTTGAAGGAGAAAGAAGTATTTTCATATTTGTTTTCATTTAAATTTACACGCAGTTATGGGCGTAGCACTCGAGCCGCAAAAAAGATCATCAACGTTGCTTTTCGTATATCCAATAAAAATAAACCTATAAGAAGACTAACATAGGGTACGGTCCATTAGCGTAATCACCGCCTTTCTAAAATGTATTCTCTTCTGGAGAGATATGGCACCCTTTCCACCACGTCAACAGCGATTTAGGCCGTTCATGCAACCAAAATAATCACTCGACAACAAATATTTAATTACCGACGGATGAACATCATTCTGCGTGGTGCTGCGTGGTGATTCGCTTAGGCAGACAACCCTTGACAATTTTAATGCGCTTAGGGGAAACACAAATGTTTCCAATGCCAAAGGTGAACGTTTTACAAACTGCCTTAGTAACCCTTCATTATGTGTTTTCTTTTGTGGACATTTTCCGCCCAAACATCAAAAGAAAAAAAATGTCCATCCTTCGGAAAATGCTACATTACACCCCATCTCATTATGAAAACAATCTGTCCTCAAAGGTCGCTCCTCACGGTCCCAAAGGTGGTCTTTGTGGAGAAATTCTACCGTAATCAAATGTTTCTAATCGATATTTATTCTTTTAACCCTATTCAGATTCCAGTGGATTTTTCCTTAAAGATCTGAGGAAAGAGTCAATTCACGAACTGGATAGGAGACTTTTTGTTGACAAAGTCGGGAAGGAAAGGGTTTTTCGATTTTTTGGTCTGAAAATGAACTTGATTCCTTCCGAGAATAGTTATGTTTGTCCCATGAAGTGGATTGCACAAAGCTTTCCAAACACTCCTGTTGACCTAATAAGGCAATGTTTCGAGGCTCTGCAAATGAACGATCTTGTTGCCTTTCTGAAACCAATTTCACTTCGTCCTGTCCTTTCCCCGGGAGAAGTAGAGACGTTACGTACTGGTGATCTTCCCACAAAGTCTCACAACAATGTGTTAGTGCTGGTAGTAAATGACAGTACGGACAAGGACCTCGGTCAAAAGATGGAGGGATTTTTCAAAGAATTAAATTCACAGAACAATGTCACAGTAATTGGATCTTCTTGCACAGAAGAAAACCGCAAGGAACTGAATGATTTGAAAATGAAACAAATGCGTAAGAAAGAACTAAGCAAGGAGGTAGAGGCATGTAACTATTCTCTTCACAGTGCAACCAGCAAAAGTAGGATGATTACATTGGAATTTGCGCTCTCTGCCCTGAGGTTAAAAGTCGCAGAACTTGAAAAAGAAATGGAGATGAACAAACCGCTGGTGGAGGTGCGACTGAAAGTGAATGAGGAGAAAAGGGGGATCATAACGTCTACAATGGACAACTGGATTCAGAATCAAGGTTGGTATAGAGTATCGACTGTTTGAAATAGTTCTGGTTTGAAACGCACTTTGAGGCTCACACAACTGGGAGCAGTTTGAAGAAAACGAAACCACAACAGCTGAGGAATTGATACACGAAACAATCATCATGACTTGACGTGATCTCGTTTCGTTATTATGTCGCCAAAGTAAAACATGCTTAACACAGGAACCGAAAGGACGGGGTACAATTAAGTGTATTTTCATTTCTCACTGGCTCAGTTAAGGTGATTCCTCAGAAAAATAAGTTATGACAATTTTTTTAAACTTTCCTTAAACGTTCCTCTCTAATGTCTGTCTCGCAAAAACGTAATAAAAAAGATAAATAACAGGGCTTGTTTTAGACATATGATGGGCCAAACTTACCCCATTTAAGTCTGTACTGGCACTAATCACGCGCGTCATTTCATCGGTTCACGGAAAAAAATTCGATAAGTAGAAAGTATCGAGCGTAGGGAACATTTTGATAATTTGTGGGAAAATTACGCAAATTTAAACGACATCGACTCAAATCGTTTCTCGACTCGTTCCTTTCAAGGTCATAATTTGCATAATCGAGTAACGGGCTTCGTGCACGCTTTTAGCTTTATCTTTTTCCCTTTCAAATAATTTTTTGTTAATTTCCTCAATTTAATTCTTTTTTTCATATTTCATTGTTGTTATTTCCGTTCAACAGAGAAATTCACGGCGGTTTTTCTTGCTTTCATCATCGATGAAAAGGAATCAATTTACGATTATGATGTTTTAGCAGAATGTGTGGCGTCCAAGTTGTCATCACTTCCATACCACACGAAAATCGTGGTTGGTGCTCCGAGGTGGATTATCATTAATGAGGTTCCCGAGATGCTATCTATTGGTTCTCCGGACTGGCCAATTAACTCCTCAATCTTCAATTCGATGATTGAGATGTTCGTTGAGCGATACCACGAATTGGATCTCGTTTCAATGATGAGAGAATTTTTAAGAACAAAGCAAGTTGTGAGTGACATCCGAAGCAATCTTTCTACTCTTCCAAGGTTTGAGAAAAGGAAAGAACAGGAGCTCGAGTGAAGCTAGTCATATGTGAATTAAATGAGACACTGTTGTTGTTGGGCGGTAGAGGATTTTTGTTGTATCACGATATTATATGATCCCCTCTTCACTGGCAGTTAATCGACTGATCCCCCTCCGATTCCTCCCCTAAAAAAAAAGAAAAAAAGAGTAATCTTCCCAGAATCCTCCATTCCCCCTCCCCAGGTGATGAACAATTACTTATTCCCGACAGAATATTACGAATGCTAAAAATATCAGGGTTGTTCAATTTATTTGCCTATATTAGGGAGCAAATGCTATTTACATTCAAAGGTGTTCATCATGTAGTTGCGGACAAATTTATTTGCAAAAGGACGATGAATGAAACCTGGGAAAGGAGTATACCTGAATCGCCTCTCAAGGGAATATTCTTTAAACGTTTTTTTTTTTCGCAATTATCCTCTCGGTGGTTTGAGTTAATGTTGTCTCTTACTTAGAGCTAAGCAGTAGAGTTGCACAGGTATCATAGCGCGAAACTAGAATGAACTTAAGCATGCGTGCACGCAAGATTCTCTTTACTGGCATTTACATCTTTCGTCCACTTTGACGCTTTGCCCGCTGCGTTTCTTCTCCAAGCAAAGGAAAAATAAAAACCACTAGTATCTATAGAGATCGCCTCTTATGAGTAAGATATTGATTCATAGCTTTTAAGGTTGGTAGGTTGGTGGATGGGCACAGAATTCATAAAGCTGACATTTATTACACGATGTAACCGAGTATCCAAAGCTGATCTACACGAACAAACAATAGTTCAGATAACTATATTAAAATACCAGGTATGCGAAATTCAGCTATAGAGACTAGTTTTGATGTGTTAATTGGAATTTTTGTAACAATGTGACAACAATATTTAATAGAAAATGAATGACGTGACTCAGAGTTTTGCTAGCATTTGTTGTTGTGCAGATTAGTATCTGGGGAAAAGGCAGTAGTTCCTTTCACGAGATTTAAAAACGTATTTAAAAGCAAGGTTCGGTTTTTTTAGTCTAATGAGCACGAATGTTGTGTTTGCGGTAGAGTAACCATTGAACTTCAAGTTAAATTGGTGAGAATCCACAAAGGCTTAAAAAGCAAAATGATAATAATTATTTGCAAACAATTTTAATTCAACTGAGGTATTGTAATGATTCCCATGAGATTTATGCATTCAGCCTTCCTTTACTCTCCTTCTTAGCTTGTCACGCTGTCCTTGTTGTTTCCCAGCGTGCTCTTCCTTTCGTTATTCTCTACACTTGGCACCATTGTTAGTGCTCCACGAAAATATTTTATCCAGTCGCTCTTCAGGAGCATTTGAGTTCTTTTACTATGCATGTAGATGTCCGATCGGTTTTACCAATATTCTCTCTTTTTTCATTTTTCTAAAGATATTTGATGAGCTCTGACAGATGTAAACAAAATTATGGTATATAATGGGACCTGTAGGAGGCTAAGAATAAGCCAACTTTAAAAGAAAAAAAAATACCTGAAGGGGAAGCGAGGAAATTTTTTCTTATGGGTCTTGATAATTACACCATGTAAATCTAAAACTATCCTTTTAATTCTCACACTTTCATGCTTTACATCTTCTCTTGTTGTCACTATTTATCATAATTAGCATTGTTCTACTTACTATATAATTCAACTTCCAACGCTTTGTACAGTAATTAACTGAAGATGACAGAAGTTTCTGTCGAAACATGTTTTACAGACTCAAAAGTTTTGTCGCTTTCTTTAAATTTTTTTCTTTAAATTTTTTACTAACATGATCCAGATAAAAAGAAGTAGAATTCATGAAGCTCCTCTCGATACTTTTTAATACCTTTTACAACACTTTGCACTTTGATCAGACTGCATGTCATAGCCTAATCTTTTAACAGACGCCATGTAATTTAGGGAACAAGGCTACACCCCAACACCGGCTGGACCCTTTCCCCTAGTCTATGCAATCAAATCAAGAGAACTGACGTCATTATTGTCTTCATCGCCATTAATGTCGTCATCAACGTCGCTAATATTTCCGCCCTTGTGGTAACCTTTATCTGTTTCACTCTGCTTTCACGTATTTGATGTTAGCTTCTCTCTCGTCAATTCGTCATCTAAAAAGACCAAAGTATTGATGGATATTACAGGCTTGTCAACAAGAATTCAACCAGAGGAGGAAATCAATGCTGTTTACAACATTAAATGGGACGATTCAACATTAATATCCTTTCCACTGCATCAATCTTCCTGCTAATTGAAAAATTTGCGGCTCTTCATTCTGTTCTTTCTCCGGAGGAAGTAGAGAAATTTAAGACTGGTGATCTCCCCACAAATTTTTATAGCAATACGTATATGGTTGTTTTGATAATCAATGACAGTGCAGAAAGTGTCGGATTGGTTTATGAGACTTCAAATTGTCAAATAAGGTTTCAAAACGATGGAAAGTTGAATTTTGTTTCGATCGTTGTTTTCAAATCGTACACATTTGAAAGTACTGCAAGTAAAAAAGAGTTCGTTCATCAATGAAAAGTGATGAATAATTTATCGCCAGCAACAAAGCTTTGAATCTACGGGAAGACAAACTCTTTAAGAAATGGATGAGCTTTAAGCATATAAAAAAGAATTTCCAAAACTAACTTTCATTTTCATCATCTGACTTGCTCCCATAGCGACGACGCTTTGCAGGAATCGCTGCCAGTACTTGAGGAGCTGAAGGCTATGAACCAAGAACAATGGTACAGTTGTTAAATACAGCACCAGAGAGGGTGAGAGTGGCCAACCTGTCAAACAGGTTCCTCTTTACAGCACAAAATAACCACCTGTCCAAATAACCGTACAGTATCGCAAGATATTTGTACTCTATTCCCGCGTTATTAGTGCTCTTCTTTGTGTAGTTGGATAATAAAAAACATTTCAAAGCAGCCCCTCGATCTCAGCGTAGTCTGTCTATTAATCGGAAACAATTACATTGCGAGAAAAACTGAGCTGGAGTAGGCGGGCCGGAAAGAGATATAACAGACAAAATCAGGGAGCCTGAACAGTTAAAGGGGATCTAAGCTTTGCACGATTTCCCGCCTTAGCAATGACGTGCAGATTGACATGTGATACAGAAAAATTCGAATTACTCGGAGGCGAAGGTTCGCACCACTTGGCTTTGTCTGAAGTCTCTGTTTTCCACGCGCCTTTTCCTCTTACATTTCTATACAATGCCGATTTTACTTTCTTTTTAGTGGTCGTTTCATCACTTGCTCGTCGATCTGATAAGAGAAAGAGTGATTGAGGGCAAAAAACAATAACAACAACAACAATTATACAGAAAGTTGAATTTCCAAAAACCTCGGCAAAATAGAAAAATCAAATAAGAAGTTGATGACAGATGGTTTACAGAGAGAAAAGCATATAGCTTTAAGCAAAGAAAAAGGATTTTTAAAATGGAAATAAGAGCTACATAAAACAACTTCGTCGTAACTAAAATTTCTTAGGCAGAAATAAAGGTTGAAGTGTTGGGCCATATAAGTTTTCGTATGAAAGGGTTCACTATCGTGGGCGTTCCCGTGGCAATTTTTTGAAAAAAAACTTACTTAAGTATTTGAACTCTAGATCATAACAGTTTCCATGAGGTAGCTAGTTTCGTGGTGTGATTTAGTAAACGAGCTTTCGAGTAGTGAGCATCAGTTGGTATACGTCATGTTTTCCATGATTCGTAACCTACACGCGAGAAGTTTTTATTTAGTTTTTTACTGTCTTTTTTCACGTTTCATTATATGTTTCTTTTACAGAGAAATGTACCTGTATTACGGTGTTTTTTTATCATCAGTGAAGATTCTTCCATTCTCAATACCTCAACTCTGAATAAAGTTGTGGCAAAAACGTTGGAATTGTTTCCGAATCCCACTAAACTTCTTGTTGGGTGCACCTTCCTAGAAGTGGATTGGAAGCCTTCCTGAGAGACTTACTGTAAAGTTTTCAAATATACCCGCTGATTTCTTTGTTAGTTCGATGATTGAGATTTTCAACAAGCGATGGTACACTTTGGATCTTCTATCAATGATGCAAGAACTGAAAAGGACTGTGGAACTGACATCAAGTCGATACATAGTAAATATTGAAAGCAAAATGTCGTCTCTTCCACGGTTTGAGAAAGAAAATGATCAAGTGTGTGTAGAAAACTAATCATATGTTAATTAAGTAGACATTATTTCCGAAAAGACATGCATGATAAGATCCTTTTTATGATGGCTACTCAGCGAATGTCAGTTCTAATTGCATTCATGAGTGATCTTCAGTGTACATGCAGCAACGTCATTCTCTATTTCGTAAGTATACGCGAAGTTAAGAATATGATATTTTGTGCGCCACCCTATAGTTTTTAAAGGACGCGTGTGCGATCTGTATATCCTTTATGCATATCTTAAACATATAATTGTGTATAGGTTAACTTTGTATTCGTTTTAAAAAAAGTCCAAAAGTATAAATGCAATTAAAACGAAGAAAACTGTTGTAGCTATAGAATTATAATGTAGTTGAACCACGGTCAGGGAACCTTACTAGTTTTGTACTCAGTCGATTCGTTCCCCGAGCTGAGAGCATTCGTACTCAGTCAGTTTAGCTGTACATGTTTCCCATGTTAATTATGATAAAAGTAAGGTCGGTTTCTTATGCCGGTTAAATAACAATATAATTTACGTTAGATAAGATCTGTCTATGCTTTAATTGGCTGTTATTGTAAAATCGAGGCAATAATTTAGTCGTTATTGTTACGAAGGAAACAAGTATATACAACAGAATTTTACTTATGACTTGTTCCCTCGACTCTTTAACCAACTATCTGTTCACGTGCTTGGGTGTGAGGTATTTCGTAAGATCTCGTGGGTTTTGATCGTCACTAAATGTTAGGACGAGTACGAATCGACTCACTCATTTTTTTTTTTAGATTGGCTGAAAAGGTAAAGAATAATTATTAGGTTACTATCTCTCTTGTGATTGGAATGTTTACAAGATGAAAATTTTAGGTTTTTTGGCCCAGTAATGTTTTGTTTTTATAAAGGTTTGTGAATATTTATTTACATTTCATTTATTTGTAAATTTTTATTAATTTGAATTAGCTGTTATTTTTAACGGAAATTTTTTATTACACCAAAGTTAACTCATACCAACAAACAATACTACAAATTAAATTGTAACAGTACGGCATCAACACTTAGTAAAAAATTATTAAGTGATCCTAAGCTTTGACAGCATTTTTTTGTTAGTAGCTATGAAAAAGGCAATAGTTCCTTTAGCAAGATTTAAAACTCATTTTAACAAAGAGTCGATTTTTTTTCTGGTATATATGTGATGATTAGCACACATATGCTACATACCGTGTTATCGCGAATCGAGGTGCAGACATCTCTCTGTGTAAGGGAAATCAATCCTTCAGAACGAAAGCCCTATGAATCCTCACAAAATCACTACAGTGTTGTAATCACGACTATTGATATTGCGGAAGAATAACTCACGTGCCTCAAGTTAAGTTATACTTTCTATAGCTTTTTGTAGTTTACTTTGATCAAATTGCGTGTCACAGGCTACAGAGGAGAAAGTGGAATTTTTTTATAGATGCCATCTAATTTAGGAAACAAGGCTGGGCCTGGGCTAAACCCGTTGCCTCACTCTTTGTAACGAAGAAAAATTACGTCATCATCAGCTTCATCGCTTCCATCGTCGTCATCGTCCATCTTCGTCGTCCTCATAATTAGTTTCTTTGTCACCTACATTTTCACCCCCGTGGAAATCTTCATCTGTATGGTGAGCATTTCTAACTTCGATGCTGGAGATTTTAGCCAAACGCTGGAAAACGATGGACATGATAGCAATGATAAGAGAGTTAAAGAGGACTTTAGCAGAAAAGCGCATAGAAAGGAGAAACAATCTCTTGCGAAGGATGGCAAAAGTCTCGACTATATTTACTATAGACGAGAATTAGTCTTGTCTTCTAAGGTTCAAAAGGAAATTTTCTCTAAAAATCTCAGTGGATCTCATTTTTTTTTCGAAATAATCACATTAATTACATAAAATGAGAGATTCCTGTGCTAAAACTGCGTAGAAGCACCTTCAAACTGATTCAAAATGATCATTTATTTACTACCAAGAGATTATAATCTCTTGTTACTACACAATGTTAGTAAAAAGTAGTGTTTCCTTCCATATTTCTCTTTCAAAGAAATAGTAACGACAGTAAACGGTTGGCAGAGTTTGACATTTTCATGGAGCCCGCTTGGAAACAGTGGAAGAAGAACTAAGTAAATTTGTTCTCTCTTTTGTCTAAACATCATCGTCTAAATTTCCCTAGATGTTCTGAAAATTCTGTTTGACTCCATAAATTGTACAGAAAGAAACTCCGGATTTTTGTTTTAAGCCCTTCAGTTCTACTTGACTTCAAGCCTAACTTGGAATCAGCTTAAAAATGGAAAGTGCTCTATCATAAAAGCGTTCGGGAAAACAATAGAATGAAATATTTCCCGGCCTTAGAAAATATTCTCTGTTTCTATCTCTGTTAAGTCATGAAACTTTTGAAGAACCCGTCAAGCTTTGACTGCCCTTTTCAAACAGCTTATTTTCAAAAGCAAACTGAACACGTGCACCCAAATCACCCCGACATACCTGGGAAACGTTAGACAATCGTTTTTTTAGTTGTTGTTTTGATTGAAGACTAACAATAACCAGCTGCAAGTCGGAGAGTCTCGGTAAGTATATTCTCTTGCATCAAGTTATGTTTACCATTTGCTTTCTCTTGGCTGCACGGGGAGACAAAAAAAAAAAAAAAAATATATATATATATATATATATATATATATATATATATATATATATATATATATATATATATTTATGTGAGTTTGGGCATTTATGGAAAGGAACGAACATCTCAGTGGCTAATTGAGATTTTTATTTTTTATTTTTTAATGGACAGAAATAATTAAATTTGTTACCAACAGTATTTACCAAATGTCATGCGAGCGACCCAGACTATGTCCACTAAGACTATGTCCACTAAGAAGATTCCACTGAGAAATTCGCGTGACCTTCTTGAACTGGTGGTCACGAACGATGTTGAGTCACTATGCGTCATGATATCACGCAGCCTAAAAGGGTTTGAGTTGACTCAGGGAAGACCACGACATGAATTGCAAGTAGACGAAATTTACCGAAAACATTCAAGTCAGCTCCTCATCCTGGTACTAAATTGAATCTAGTGTGATATGTCTTGTATTTTATGATATATCCTTAACCGCGACTTGAAACGTTGAAGAAATATTATGGAGAAATTAACCTTTGGGATTCAAATGTCCTCCCGCAATACTTGGTCAAATAGTCTTGATCACCATAATATAATCTCTTATTGGGCCCACCGGAGTCTGGTTTCCCGCCGATTACTTGACATCGACTACCCTGAAGTCTACGTTGGCATTCCTGTCTCGTCCTCAGAGCCCACTGTACTGAGTGCAAGACCTCTGGGGGATCCCGCTGAGGAGGTTTTACATCTTCGTGACCCTTGGCGCCTGAAGTGTTTATGTCCGACATCAACTCTTTTTAGCGAACGAACTGCATGGAAAAATCGTTCTATTTGCCGTAATGTCAGCTATCGAATATAGAGGCTTGCTCTTTGAGGTAAGCCAGAGATTCGACGAACTGAATATGCTGAAAAAGTTGCTATTCCTGTGCAAGAAAAAGCTAACTCCTGGGGGCAACATCGAGAATGCCTTGGCGCTGTTTGAGAGATTGGAGGAACAGAAATATCTGGGAACTGATCGCTTGAAGTTACTGAAAGAGCTTTTGGAAGAATTTGGAGAGTGGTCCCTTTTAGAAAAAGTGAAAACGTTTGAGAACAAAAGGAAGGAGTATAAAGCTTTGCTTAAAAAGGCTAGGTGTGCACTCGACGAACACAATGATCTGGAACGGCTGATCAAGGTTTGTGAAGGCAAAATATCAGAAGAAAGAGAAGGAAACATCAAAGATGTTCAGTCGTTGTTACAAGGACTAGAAGATGAAGAGATTCTGGGAATAAGCTGCCTTGATATTTTGAAAGATCTTCTGACAGCAGCAGAGAGAGGCGATTTGCTTCAGGAAGTGAAAAAGTTCGAAGAACGAAGAAATCGGGAAGCTAAGTTTAAAAGACAGAAAGGTGAGCTAGAGGCTGCTTTCTTGTTTTTATAGATGAGCTAGCCACTACAAACGTCGACACCGTCATGATTAGTATGAATTTTAACAGTTTTGCCAGTTTGGCTATACTTTTCATCATTCCTGTTATGTTCTGTTTTGTTTTTGAACACGGAACGCGAGTGTTAGCTGTGCTTGATTTTTATTACCGTACGTAAGCTTGCAATCTAACTGAGTGTGTAAATCTTCTAAGTGAGAGTATCCATTTCGTTTTTCGTCTCTGCTTACGTCATAATAACGTCAAATACGGCGCTTGACATGTTTACAAACCTTTGTTTGGATCCTCTGTTGCTACAATGTATGTTCCGAAATTTTACTCGCCATTAACGAAAAGAAGCTAGAGACAAGTCCGGGAAATGATCGGACATATACAAACTGGCAGACGGTGTGACAGCTTAGGCTCTTTTGCTCTATGTTTTGTACTCTGATACAGCACGCTGTTTCAACTAATGACAGTGTGTGTTATATCCGAACTTTATTATAAGGTTAAAAATTCTTCGAAGTAGACAACACTGACAAGTTATCAATAGAATTGAATTATTGTTTGGAACATCACTAGTGCTGTAGTCAGCCTTAGAGAGTTGTCCGTAGAAGCACAAACATTTGGTTGTTAAATTTCTAGGACTCTGTTGTTTATAAACTGGACAGTCTCCAGGGTAAAGAAATTTTGGCTCCATTTGGGATGACTGGGGGACGATCTGACTGCAGTCACTAACAAAATTCAATGTGTTTATGCATAATAATTTAAAGCTCATCAAAAAATCAAATCAGCAGACCAGAATTAATGTAATGTTGGCTGAATAGAACTATCAAGTCAGTGAAAAAATTATGAAAATGTACTTCAGGAGTAAGAGAGCACTATACTGCATGTACATGTGGTTTTGTGGAAGCCATGAAAGAAATTCTTGAAATTATATATGGTGGATGCATAAATTTTTGTTCTTCATCGGGGCAGGCTGTGTTGCTGGCAGTGTGTGCTTTGAATGGTTGAGAGATCGTAAGAAGTAGTGAGATAGTAGAAGTAAAACAGGTGAAGTAATAAGTGGCTTTGGAAGGAAAATAATTAAAGAAATCCCATGCTGAGGTTGGTAGGGAGGGGGGGAGGGGAGAGTGGATAGATTTGAGTTTTTCCTGCAAATCAATAAGCAGGAAATTTCTATTGGCCAAGAATACTGCTACATGTCAATCTACTTTTCTGGTTTCTAATCTCAAGGGAGATGCACAGAACGTGAAATAGAAAATGTTCAAGGCAAAAACTAGGCAGCTGTGCCACCTACACAGATCATCAAACATCCAGAAAAATCTCTAGCTATACAGAAAGTATTCACAGGATAGTCCACAAGCCCCCTCTGTGCAAATCAGTATATTTACTGAAAGATAAAATAATTTTTAAAATAGCTGACCTTTGATCAGATTGAATATAATACCAATGGGTGAATACAGGTTTCTTGGGCAAAAGTTTTATTCAAATTCTGACTTATAATTTCAGGACGAGCAGCTGCTTGTGTAACTTCTATTGCAGACTGGATTAAAGGTATTTATTCAAAATTAGGTTTCCATCATTATATAACAGCTTATGTATTTCCTAATTACATTCCACACTTTCTTAACAATACTAAAGTTGCATAATTAACTTGAAATACATTATTTTCTTAGTCAAGCGGCTAGCTTAAACATATGCTACTTGAGTGGGCATTTTTTTTCTATAAGCTTATTTCGTAAGTTAATTAAAGACTGAAATATTACTTGTGCAGCTTTAAGTGTAACATCTAAAATAATACCAGTGTGGGCCACAAACAAAAACAGTATAAGCTGAACTTTTGATCTAAGCATTTATTTTCAACTGGGTCAGTTTTACCCTATTACTTCCAAGATCTCATTAGTAATTTTCTTTTACTTTGGAGAATTTTTTCTTGGATAAACTAATGATTGCCTCATTGGTATGGTATTTTGTAAGGAGAACTTCTGTCTTTTCACCTTCAGGCCCTGTTCTAGGGTTATTTTTTTCTTTTCCCACCCCTTTTTTTCCTTTAACCTTCACAAGATTTCAAACTGATTGGTCTCTCTTGGTCTTCAAAATATGAAGTGGGGGGGGGGGGGTAGATGAATAGGTTCTTGAGCTGATTGCATTCACAGCAATTTGTTTTGATGGAGTCTGTCTTATTGGCTGGGGAAGGGGGTCCCAGTAACAAATTCAATAGAGGGCTGGAGCTTTTCCTTAATCCTTGTGGAAGGTAGACTAATAAAACATGCAAACTGAAACAAGCCCTATATGATCAAACCCACACTCCCCACCTCATGACTGGCTTCCAAAAAATGCCTAACTGAAAAAAGATCAGCGAGAGTATACAGTGTAATAGCTTTCCCTTGGAATGACAGAGGTTCTGTCAGAAGCTGCTGCATTTTGGCCCTTTCTGCATAGCTTTAAATTTTAAAGGAAGTCGGTTGTGGAAAGTTGAATTGATAAGAGATTTCTTTATTCATTGGTCCACATTTTTGTTTTCAGCACCGTGTGTTGGGGGTGTGTCCTTTGTGGTAGAGAAGTTAAAAAGAGGTGAGTCACTGAAGGCCATGTGGCTGAGTGGTGGTGGTGCTAGACTCATATTCTGATGATCCCAGGTCCTCCACCCTTCTATGCCCTGGATTTTTTTCAGTTGCTCAAGTTCAACTTTACAGTATCTGTGTCCAGTTTGTTTGTATTGGCCTTGAATGGCCCTATAGGGATTAGTGGTCAATTATTATCAGCATAAACTGATCCTCAAAAATTACCACCAAGAGACTATAAACTAACCTCTTGTCTGAGTAAACGTTTTGTGAAATGCTGCAAAACTCTGCAGCACACAGTGTCTGTACACACCCATTCATATCCTAGTGCCATTTGCTTCCCAAGCAAACCAGAATTGTCATGGTCGCACGCATTCTATTCAGTGTGTGGGCGTGTTACGCGTGAAATAAATTATATGTATGTGTAATAACCATCTCCTGAACTATTTGCCAATTGTTGTGCTTTTTTTCAACAGCTATAACTTTAGTGTGTAATTTTCGTACCGTTGCTGGTGGTCTTCTAACGGTTAACAGTGGCATGGCTCTGCAAAAGTGCTCTACTCGCCAGGACTACCAGGAGACCTTTGAAAAAGTTGTATTACCTTCATCCAACAAGCTGATTGAGATCAGTAATGGTTCTGTACGCTTCACGGTAGAATCTGAGAATTTGATTGCTTTGAAGGAGTTATGGGATATCTACAAAGATGGAACATTGCAGAGTCGTCTTCAAGAATTCCTAGTCACTGATGAAATTAAGCAACTTGCGAATGGAGAAGACATTGAAGTGACAGTGTTCATTGATGAACACGAGTATAACGAAGCCTATTTCAATTTGTTTTTACTTCATCAAGGTATGCTTGTAATGATAAAAGGTAGTCATATGCCATGTAAATAATGGCTTGTATTTGGAAAACTTCCTCGCACATGTCAAAATGTAAATGTAGTTTACAAGTGCATTTCAATTGGCCAGGTTAATTTGGATGGTTCTGGTACTACAGGCAAACTGAGTAATACGTAAGAACCAATCCGCATACAGTCTTTCTTATTGAAACAGTTAAATCAAATTTCTGAATTAGTTGTCGCTGGCCCAAAGAAGCGCCTGAATTATTGATCAGCTGATTAGTGACCGTCAACAACATATGCAAATGAAATCTGAAATTTCGGAACAGAGCATGTTTCTTTTTCAAATGATCTGTGTGATCGGTCATCGCCAAATTATTGCCGGCATTTGAAATGTCGCAATAACGTTACAGTTGACGTCTTTGAGTTCTCGAGCAGTCTGGTGGCGTCTTTCCCTCATTTTTTTTGTAGTGCTTATTTTCCAGCTTTCCTCCATCCCTCCCTTCCCTCCCCTCCCTCCCCTCCCTCCCCTTCCTCCCTTCCCTCCCCTCCCTCTATTTTCCTGACACGTACATAGCCAGAGTTTACAGAAGCCTGGATTAAGGCCTCATGGCTGGGTTGCTCAAGAACATTAATCGTAATTTTATACATGGTTTAAAATTGAGACAGCATTTTACCATCAACGAATCTTTCTTGTAAAGGATCAATCAACTTCAAATGAAAATACATTCTAATTGTTCTTGTTGGTTAATTCTTCCTTTAGCGCCAAATGTTGAACAGGAGGAACGGCCTGGACGAAGAACTCGAAGGAATTCTGACTCTTTTCTTTGCGTCAAACCCAATGAGAATGAGATAGGCTTGATGAAGCCAATGGAGGAAACAGAAGGCAAATGGGGGGAAGAGAAAAAAATGCTTGAATTAAGGATGGGAGAGCTTGAGGAAACTTTGAAGGCGGAATGGACGAGAGATCTGGATCGTAAGCATTTAAGTACCTCATTACACTTAATTTATTTTTGCAAAATGTATAGGGGATCACTGGTAAAATAGTGGGTAGCGTAAGAAGAGCCATCGTTGTAAGTGTACACGTTTCGTACTCCCCTTTTCCTCCCATTTTTACAGAGTCTAAAAGGACAAAGGAGACCTAGGCACTAGCATAATCTCCTCCGGATAACGTCTGTCTCACCTACGCATTACTAGTAGGCCAATCTTCCTCACTACCCAAAAATAGAAAATACTCTTTAACCTCGAGGCGTTCCACTCGACTCAACGTTTTGATTATTTCATGGATTTCCTTGAACGGACGAAATGATAGTATAGTAAAGATCTGTTCATTGAATCAGATGTAAAACTAAAATCCCATTAAGCTATGCACCTGTGAAATTTAGAGACGTAAGAACCAATTGGATTCACTCATTTTCTGTTTGAAACAATTTTATCCATAATCAAATTTCTGAGTTAGTTTGCTGGCCCAAAGAAGCTCCGGAATTATTGATCAGCTGATCAGTGACCGTCGACAACACATAAAAAAACAAATCTGAAATTTCCAATTTTTCTAATGACCTGTGTGATCGTAATGATCCAGGCCAGGTCGCTGTAATTGACTGACAATTTAATAAAGTCAACCGTCGTGAACTTCGCGGCGTTTCCTGGTGATCGGTCATCGCCATATTATTGTAGACTCATGCAGAACGTCGCAATTACGTTACAGTTGACGTCTTTGAGTTCTCGAGCAGTTTGGTGGCGTCTGTTCCTCATTAATTCGTAGCAATTATTTTCAAACGTTTCTCCACCCCTCCCCTCCTTTTTAGAGTATACAGAAGCCTGGATTGAGAGCTCATGGCTGGGTTGCTCAAGAACATTAATCGTAATTTTATACACCCGGAAAACCGGGTGAAACATAGCGGAAGCTTCTTTTTTTAACCAAATTCAAATAAAAGTTAACGTAATCGGGGCTATAGGTGAGTGATACCATATTTACCGATGCATATCTTTTTTCGTTTCCGCATATTAATGTATTTGTGGCTGTTCACCAAATAGATTGTCAACCTTACCACCCTTAATCTTGCAAGTCCGAAATAAGATACTGGCACCATTTTCCAGCAATTTAACTAAAGTTTTTATCTGTTCCTTCTGCTTATTTATAGTGCGTCCATTTGAAGTCAAATTTATCTTGCTAATAATATAAGATTTAAAGTTACCATTGTTGATTTTTATTCTACTACTTTTAGGAGGTGTAACGATTAACAGTGTTGAAAGAAGACGGCGAAATTCTGATTCAGCTGTGTATTTCAACGCAAAGAAATTACCATTGTCAAGGCTTGAATGTCTAGAAACTGAATTAAAATATCTCCACAACAGAATTACACTGCTGGAGGAAAAAGACCAGAATTTGGGATTGCACTCTTTGGGGAAAGTGGAAATCGCATCTTCAGGATCACACGATGAAAATTTTGGTAACAGCTGATTGTGAAATTCAGCACTATAGGACCTTAGTGTGGTTGTTTGTTTGTTTGTCTGGTTGTTTTGTGTATTGCCGTTGTCATGAATTACCATTCTCGGCATTTCGTTTTGATTGTCATGATACCAAGTTCCCTAAATGGTATGAAAATATAGATCACCACTCAAAACCGTCTTAGCGAGTTTGGTTCCCTCATTACATATGATTATTATAATTATTGCTATTATTATTGTTATTATTATTCTTCTTATTATTATTATCATCATCATCATCATCATTATTACCATAGTTATCATGGCTCTAAATGTGAGGTAATCCATCTTAGATAACAAACTATGGGACCCCACGACAATGGGGAAAGACACTATAAAGATGGAAAGATCAGAAGGACGCGAAAGTAAACTAACAATGAAATTAATGGGCGCAGAAAAAATGGATTTTGTACAGAGGTATATAGCGAATGTGCAAGAGACATATAGCTTGACGACTGAGGCAAGTGACAGTGGTTTGGGAGCACGAACTGCTGTGTCCGAAGAGGAAGCAGGAGACGTGAGAGGTAAAACTAATTCAACCGTCGTTTTTGGTTGTTATTTTTTTAATGAAACAATGTTAACGGTGACTCGTTGCAAGGCTAAAAGGGAAAAAGGAAGAGGGTTGTCAGCCATAGCTTATTACGAGAAGTCAAATCCAAATTTGCGTTTGAAGAAGAAAGAAGTATTTTCATTTTTGTTTTCATTTTAATTTACATGCAGTTTTGGGCGTAGCACTCGAACCGCAAAAAAGAACATCAATATTCCTTTTCGTTTATCCAAAGAAAATAAACCTATAAGAAATTAATTAAATAATTAAATGAAATACATTTATATAGTGCCACCTTCCATTAATTGTCCATGGCGCTTTACAATACTCTAAAAACCGTCCCAGCACAGAACTCTGTGGTACCCCGTAGGGTAAATGCTTCTTCGACGATTCAATTCCATTAACAGACACAAACTGTTCGCGTGACTGAAGGTACGAATGAAACCACTTAAGAGCTATGTTCCTAATACCGAAACGATTCTGTAATCTTGATAGCAAAATCGAATGACCGACAGTATCAAACGCAGCCGATAAATCAAGCAATGGTAAAATAACCGATCTGTTATTGTCAATAGCCTTCAAAATATCATTTTGAACTTTCACAAGCGCAGTCTCTGTACTGTGATGAGGTTTATATGCATTAATTGTGCTGCGAAGAAGACCAACATAGGGTACGGCCCATTACCGTAATCACTGCCTTTGCAAAAAGTGTTCTCTTCTGAAAAGATGTGGCCCCCTTTTCACCCCGTCGACAGCCATTTAGGCCGTTCATGCAGCCAAAATAATCACTCGACAACGACTATTTAATCACCGACAGACGAACATTATACTGCGTGGTGATTCGCCTAGGCAGACAACCATTGACAACTTTTAATGCGCTTAGGGAAAACACAAATGTTTCCAACAACAAAGGTGAACGTTTTAAAAACTGCTTCATTATTCGTTTTCTTTTGTGGACATTTTCTGCCCAAACATAAAAAAAAATGTCTCATCCATCAGAAAATGCTATACACACCCCATTCTTTATGAAAACAATCCGTTCGTCGAAGGTCGCTCTTCTCGGTCCCAAAGGTGGCCTTTGTGGAGAAATTCAACGTAATCAAATGTTTCTAATCGTTATTTTTCCTTTTAACCTTATTCAGATTCCAGTACACTTTGCGTTAAAGATCTGGGGGAAGAGTCAATAAATAAAGTGGATCGGAAACTTTCTGTTGATAAAGTTGGGTTGGAAAGGGTTTTTCGATTTTTTGGTCTTAAAGTGGACTTTAAATCTTCCAGTCATGTTTCTTTTATGAAGAGGATTACACATAGCTTTCCAAACACTCCTGTTGACCTAATGAGGCAATGTTTCGAGGCACTTCAAATGTATGATCTTGTTGACCTTCTGGAGAAGGCGGTGAAAACAAGTTCACTTCGTCCTGTCCTTTCCTCGGGAGAAGTCGAGACGTTACGCACTGGTAATCTTCCCACAAAGTCTCACAATAATGTGGTAGTACTGGTAGTAAATGACAGTGCGGACAAAGACCTCAATCAAAAGATTGAGGGATTTTTTAAAGAATTAAATTCACAGAACGATGTCACTGTAATTGGATCTTCCAGGTCGGAAGAAAAGCTCAAGGAACTGAGGGATTTGAAACGGAACCAAATGGATTTGAAACGGAACCAAATGCGTTTGAAACGACTAAGCGAGGTGGCAAAAATAGGGAAAAGTTTTCGGCCTAAAAGCAGAAAACTTACATGGGATGATGACCTCTCTGAGATAAAGTTTGAAATCGCAAAGCTTGAAAAAGAAATAGAAATGAACAAACCGCTTGTGGAGGAGCAACTGAAAGAGAACGAGGAGACTAAGACGATCATAACGTCTACAATGGACAACTGGATTCAGAATCAAGGTTGGTTGTAAACTACTTTCTAAGCATAACAGAGTATCGACTGTGTGAAATAGTTAATTATATCAAGGTTTGAAACACAAAAGAAACAAACCTCGAGGCTCATACGTCTGAGAGCAGTTTGAAGGATACGAAACAACATGAGCTGAGGAATTGGCCCACATGACATGTGATCTGGTTTCGTTATCATTTCGCCAAAGTAAAACATGCTAAACACAGGAACCAAAAGAACGGCGTAAAATGAATTTTAACTAGCATTGATTTTAATTCCATAGCACGATAAGTGTATCTTCATTTCTCACTGGCCCAGTTAGGATGTTTCCTCGTAAAAATAAGATGTCGAACAATTTTTCTTAAACTTTCCTTAAATGTCCCTCACCAATGTCTGTTTCGAAAATGAAATTAAAAAAGGTGCTTGTTTAAGAGATATGATGGGCCAAACTTACCCCATTTGTGCCTGTTCTGACACTAATCACGCGCTTCATTTCATTGGTTCACAGTACGTTTTGCAGCTGAAAACAATGGTTTTTAAAGTAACACTAGACAAAATTCGATAGGTAGAAAGTCTCGAGCGTATGGAACAATTTGATATATAGTTTGTGGGGAAATCACGCAAATTTAAACGACATCGACTCAAAAAGTTCCCCGAGCCGTTCCTTTCAATGTCATAATTTGCATAGTTTTAACCATCTTTTTTCCCTTAGAATAATTTTTTGTTAATGCCCCAATTTAAAGGGGATAATTTGTACTCCAAAATTACGCAATAGAAAATATAGGTCATCGTGCTCGTTCAAGAGCTAAAGACTATCGTACCTTTTTACCTGGTCCATTAATTAAAAAAGAATACCATGTTGTCACAATGCGCGCGCTTATTAGCCTGATTACGTGATTCCTATGCGCAGTACAGAATGCGCAGTGCAATACTGAGGAATCACCTTAACACCCCTTTGTCCAGGACAATGAGAGAAAGATTATGCATAAAATATTTGTCAGTGACACAAATTCGTATTGAGGCAAGCTTTTCGGCTTGGTGTCGTCTGCAATTGCTTGTTTTTCTTAGTCTCTGTTCTTTTTATTTATATTTTATTGTTATTTTCGTTCAACAGAGAAATTCACCGCGATTTTTCTAGCTTTCATCATCGATGAAAGGAAATCAATTTACGATTATGATGTTTTATCAGAATGTGTGGCGTCCAAGTTGTCATCGCTTCCATATCACACGAAAATCGTGGTTGGTGCTCCGAGGGGGATAATCATTGATAAGGTTCCTGAGATGCTATCTATTGGTTCTCCAGGCAGGCCAATTACCTCCTCGATCTTCAATTCGATGATTGAGATTTTCATCAAGCGATACCACAAAGTGGATCTCGTCTCAATGATGAGAGAATTATTAAGAACATCTAAACGAGGTATGAATGACATCCGAAGCAATCTTTCTACTCTTCCAAGTTTTGAGAAAAGGAAAGAACAGGAGCTCGAACGACGCTAATCATATGTGAATTAAACGAGACACTATTTGAAATAAGAAACATTATCAACAACTAATAAGGGACCAGTCATCCGATCATTATCTATCGCCAAGGGGATGGGGGTGAGCGGGGGGGGGGGGGTAGGTAAGAGGATTTTTTGTTGTGTCACAATGAAATTTACCCTATCCCCCCTCAAGGCTCTGTCGTATTCTTATGATCCCCGCCTCATTGGCAGTCAGTTGACTGATCCCCAATCCGTTTCCCTTTAAAAAAGAGTAATAAATTAATCTTCCCAGAATTCTCCACTACCCCTCCCCAGGTGATAAATAATTGCTGGTGCCCAACAGAGTACCACGCGCCATCCCATAGTTGTATTTTTCTTGTTTTCAAGTATCAGGGTTATTCAAATTTTTTTCCTATATAAGGGAGGAAATGCTATTTACATTCAAAGATGTTTATTATGCAGTTGCGGACAAATTTATTAGCAACAGCACGACGAATGAAACCTGGAAAAGGAATGTACCTGAATCTCCTTTCAAGGGAATCTTCTCAAAACGTTTTTTTGTTTTTGTAATTATCCTCTCGGTGGTTTGAGTCAATGTTGTCTCTTACTTAGAGCTGAGCAGTAGAGTTGCAGAGGTATCATAGCGCGAAACTAGAATGAACTCGAGCATAGGCGCACGCAAGCAAGTTTTCTCGTTACTGGCGTTTACATCTTTCATCCACTTCGACACTTTGCCCGCTGCTTTGCTTCTCCAAGCAAAGGAAAAAACAAAAACCACTAGTATATAAAGAGGTCGCCTCTTATGAGTAAGATATTGATCGATAGCTTTTTAGGTTGGCAGGAAGGTGGGATGGGTACAGAATTCATAAAGCTGACATTTATTACACGATGTAACCGAGCATTCAAAGCTGACCTATAAAAACAAACCATAGTTCAGATAACTATAGAACAGATTATGATGCAAAATTCAGCTTTAGAGACTAGTTTAGATGGGTTAATTGGAATTTTTGTAACAATGCGACAACACTATTCAATAGAAAATGACATAATAAGTGGCGCAGAGTATTACTAGCATTTATTGTTGTGCAGATTAGTAACTTCGGAAAAGGCAGTAGTTCCTTTAACGAGATTTAAAAACGCATTTTAATAAGCAAGGTTCAGTTTTGTTTTTAGTTTAATGATCCCGAATATTGTGATTTCAGTAGAGTAACCCACTAACTTCAAGTTTAAATTGGTGAGAATCCACAAAGAATCTAAAAGCAAAATGATGACAATTCTTTGCAAACCAGTTGAATTCAACTGAGGTATTGCAACGATTAACGATTGTAACGATTGTAGCTATTAAATTGTTGCGCTGCCTCGACGTCGTGGCTTCCAGTTTAAACCACGGTTTGGGTCTAAGATTCGTATGGCTTTTCATTCCGGCCATTTAGCGCTTTGAAAGCCTCGACCAGCAGTTTCCCCCAAGCACATTAAGTTTCCCAAACTATAGTTCCGTACTCTGAGCCCAAGATAAACCAAGCGTGGGGTCGATGATCTGTAAAGGTGTTTTGGATCATATTTGGATTAGCTGAGTTCCTTCGATTCTTCAAATTACCAAATGTGTAGGACTGCCGGTCAATTCGTGTATTGAAAACTTTGACCGACTGCCAGTCATTTAGCCACAGCGTTATGAATATGTGTAACTCGAACGAATTTCAAGCTGTTTCTGTAATTTACAATTTCAGTTGTCCAACATCCTTTGAAATTTCCTTCATAATTTTGCTTTGTAGATCCGACAAAGTTCTTCGGTCCCGTAGAAATTAGATTCAATTCATTGATCTATTCTGCTTGTGGGTATGCCGGCGAAAAAGGTCGATTTGCAGGTCATTCGACGCAATTTTTCTTCCTTCCCTAAGCCTAGAACCTGTCACACTTCATTGTTTTTACGTGAGTAGTATCCCCGTACTCTAGTCAGCTGGAAATGACACTGTTGTATCTGCGCTGTACAGTGAAACTTTGACACCTCAACCAAGGCAGTGACTCCTTTCCATCTGCTGAAAAAAATAACGGAAAGCAAACCTAGAGATTTTATGATTAGTACATTTGATGAACTCTGTTTTTGTATTGGCAAACAAAGTGGCTCTGATGAGTTATTAATTTGCCCCCCGCCAACAATTACGATTTTTGCTCTCTTATGCAGCTACGAAACCCGGTATGCTGGTTAGTGCTCGCACAAATTACACGTGACCAGTGCGTTTAGATGTCAACTTTATTGCGAGGATTTTTTCTACACGCTTAAGAGATTCTTTTTTATTCCACTGTCATGTGTAGTCTATGATAGAATGCCAACAAAGAGATGGTTCACTTGTAAATTTTGTCCAGCTGACTTTCTGTTTGTTGTCTTCTAGCACAAGCAGCGGCTCTTGCATCATCCGTCAGAAATTCACTTACTGGAGGTAGGCCGTATCTTGTTAAATATGAGTGGTTCTTTGACACGACTTTGATATAGATTACAAATATGTTGCATGCTCCTGCTGATCCAGGGGTGGGTAATGTTGTCCTCTGGATAATTCTCGAACCGGTGGATAGTACAGCGCTTTTTGTTAAAATTATCTTTGAGATAGCTTCTCTTCTCCTTAAACAACTAGGCCCACATGTGCATTCATTAACTTTTATATAAATGAGGCTAGCGAATCCGTCACTGTTCCTTTAAGTCGTACCTAGCTAATAACTCATTCTTGTTGTCCTCTAGTGGTAAATATGAAGACTGTATTCAAGTTGTTTGCTGGTGGTTTAGTAATCGTTTCCGCCACGGAGGTCTTGAGTGGCTGGTCCTCATATGACCAGCTTGTCGCTGCTGTACAGAGCTGTGTGCTTCCGGCTGGTACAAGTCTGGTTCAAATCACTGATGGCTGTGTGTGCCTTACAGTTCAAGCTGAAAGTTTATCAGCGCTTACAAACTTGTGGAAGTTATACCAGGATGGAACTCTTCAGAAACGCCTGTACGATTTCTTTGTCACTGATGAGATGAGAAAACTGGCCGAGGGAGAGGATGTGGAGGTGAATGTCACCATCGAAGAAGAAGCTTGTCTCGAGTTGATGAATGGAGCTCAAGGTATTGTATGTTGCACAGTTGGTTTCTTGTTACTGTCGCCCGCCCTTCTTAGTCAGTTAAAACGTTTTTAGCGTTCAGTCGGTGGATGAGTGAAAGGTCGTGAGAGACTAGTGCAGTCGTCAGGTCGTGTTAGAATTCAGCGCACACCTTGCCCTTTCCCTAATGAATTGATACATTTGTCAAAAGTTACAATAAAGTAACAGAGGCTTATAATTCATGCTACGGTGTGCTATGTACTATGTAGTTTCGTTTGATATTCCCCAGCGTAACCATAAATTATAGCTAGAACCATAAGGCGTATGAATTCAGGACCAGAGTACATGCATTAACTCTTGCCCCCTTCTATAATGTCTGAATGAGTTAGATTTTACCCCTATACGTCTACTTTAGATTTCTTCTTCTTTCGACTTCTCCCAATGCTAGTTTTTTTTTTAATCTCTAAAATGTTGTTGTAATATGAACTTTGGGAATCTGTGACTAGCCACACGCCATGGATTTCATAAAGTACGATGTGTGTTAATTATAACTGATAATGGTATATTTTCAACACCTTTGAGAAATTAACCACAAAAAAATCCATATCTGTTGACACCTCTTTGATCGCTTTCACCAAATCTGTCTCCTCAGATCATAACACTTAGTAATGATTTAGTATGTTGTCATGGTCTACGCAAACACTACTTCCTCCTTTTCTTTTGACTAGCTTGTTTGCCTGTTTTTGTTTTGTAGAAGTTGAACTCTCTGGACGAGAGGAACGAGCCCGGAGAAACTCTGATTCAGTTCTGTATCCTAGCGTCAAGGAGGAACTGTCAATGTTAAAGATGAAACGCATCCAGGCAGCATTTAATCAGAGAATTGCATTTATGGAGAAAGAAATTGAAGAAGTTTCTTAGCGGTATGTTTACCCAAGCTCTAGCCCTCTAAAAACCGATTGATTTTTAATAATATTTGCCCCTTGCCCCCAAGAGCAAACATTAATCTTGAAAATCCAAAATGCCAACTCCATATTAATATGCAGTATATTTTTTGAAAGCTACGGAGGAGCACATCAAAAACGATATCAGTAGCTCTGAAAGAATTTCAATTTTGAGGCATCGAGGTCTAAAAAACAAAGACCAAAAGCGTAAGGAAGAAATATTCCGTCTCTAAATTTCACAGGTGCGCAGCTTAATGTGATTTTAGTTTTACATCTGATTCACTGAACAGATCTTTACTATACTATCATTTCGTCCGTTCAAGGAAATCTATGAAATAATCAAAACGTTGAGTCGAGTGGAACCCCTCGAGGTTAAAGAGTACTTTCTATTTTTGGGTTAGTGAGGAAGATTGGCCTACTGGTAATGTGTAGGTGAGACAGACGTTATCCAGGGGAGATTACGCTAGTGCCTAGGTCTCCCTTGTCCTTTTAGACTCTGTACAAATGGGAGGAAAAGGGGAGTACGAAACGTGTACACTTACAACGATGGCTCTTCGCGCACCCCGTCTCATTTTCCTTTGGACCACAAATCACCACCCGTCTGGGTGGTGATGGCTGGCTTTTAAGCTTTTCAGTTAAGCAGCCTTCTTTTAAAACATGAAGGTCGATTTGGAAATTTCTTTAAGTGTCGGCGTAACTCAGGCTTTATGCAGCACGATTCACATGAACGCAAAATAAAGATTCTCTCCTCAGTAGTGTTTAGGGGGAAGAGAACTGAGTTGAGCGCGTAACCCAGTTTCTGATGTGTTTGCGGTCTGTTCAATACAGTCCTATCCACTGTTATCTTAAATTGTCCTTTTCCATTTCATTAGAGGCAGATAGACTTTTCTTGAAAGATCTCAGTCAGTTGGTCACAAGTGAATTGAATCAAAGGATCAAGACTGACGCTACTGCAATGGAAAAAGTCTCCTTTTTTTCCGGTTTAAAAGGTGATCCATTCTCTTTCTCTTTCCTTCCCATTGAACATTTCTTTCCTGACACTACTGTGAGCGTGTTGAAAGAATGCTTTGAGGTCTTACAATTGAAGGATCTCGCTGAGATTCTAGCAAAAGTGAAACCACGTGCACTTTGTCCCGCGCTGTCTTCGGAGCAAGTTGAAAAATTGCAACTCGGTGATCGTCGCACGAAAAACTACAGCAACATGGCAGTTGTGGTAGTTGATGTTAGCAGTGAAAAAGACACTGCAAAAATGATCGAAACATTTTTTAAAGATCTAAACCCAAGAAACGAAGTAGGTGTAATACCATTTACTAATCTGAGAGAGAAGTATCTAATGCGGGAGAATATAGAGGAGGGGGAGCAGTTGGAGATGTTCGCGGTGGCCAAGGAGAAGGAAATCAGATATGGGTTAGAAATCCAACTTCCTAAAATGAAAAACAGGATTGAGGGGGAAGACCAGGAGAAGAGCAAAAGCCCCGAAGAAGAAAGCGTGCGGAAAGTAGGTGGCCCTCCGTGGATTGATTCACATCTTTCGAGATTGAGGGTGAAATCTATTACAAACCTCAAAGAGGAAGAACTTTTCCTGAGAAAACGACCAGAGACCCAACTAACTTTTGGGGACATTGACATTGAATGTGCTCCGTTACCAAGTTGGCTGGGTGTTCTGCGTTCTAGCTGTACAGTAGTATCAAGGTGCTGTGTAAGTGGAGTGATAACATTAATCACTCACTTCATGAAAATGAACACAAAGGTTTAAGCTCTGATCTTTTAACCCTTTTCACCCTAGTGTCAGTATGGATATTCTCCATACTTTTCTCTATACATTTCTTAAGGTGCTGATAAGGAGAATTTATTTAACAATCAAGAGGTTCTTTAGTTAGTAACATTTCCTTTATTCTAGTAATCTTCTTTGATTCAGAGGCAATATTGTAAGGAGAAATTAGATGCTGGTCACTCTTAGGGGTCAAAGGGTTGAACATAAAATAGTCAAAAGAAGGGATGACACCAAAATACAGTCAAATGCATGCTGATTGGCTGGTTGGAAATTGATTGGCAAGTACTATTTACCTTTGAGCAGCTGAAGAGACAAAATATGTCAACAATTTAATTTCTGACCATTTTTCAGTACATTGACAGAAATAAACTAATTTTTATTTACTAAAACAATGATTCACCTCAGTATTGGTGAAAGTGGTGTAATTGTTTATTACTTCAGATCAAAAAACACAAAGGCACTGCCAGAGCTTGGATGCAAATCTGTTGACCTGATATTCAACACACCACCAACCATTAGCCACTTTGTGTCCTCTACTGATAAATAAGCATGCTTTAAGTGGCATAAGTGTATACTAAAACAGTGGATATCATTGAAGGCACACTCTGATTGGCTGCTCAAACTCTGAATATCCTTTGCTATTGACTTCAAAATATCCTTTGTTATTGACCTTCAAGCAACTTGTGCAGGATTTGTGCCCAAAAAGATTGTAATTGTTTGTTGCTGGAATAAAGGAGTTAAAATCATCTTTTTGTGCTATATTATCACATTGTATAGTAAATATTAAAACATTTATTTACCCCAGTGTGGGTGGCTGGTGGTGAATATTTACCTCACTATATTGCAGCTCAGTAAATATCTATAACTAGCCACCTCCACTTTACAAATAAGTTCAGTAATTCATATCTGCTTTTTAATGTTTACAGGGATTTGGTAATGTTGGTCTTCACACCTGTTGTCATCTTCTTCACCATGCAGGAGCTAGGTGTATTGGGATCATGGAGAGAGATGGAAATCTCTTCAACACCAATGGAATAGATCCTAAAGAACTTCAGAACTAAAAACTGGTACAATGCGTAGCTTTTTACATGCAGAGTTCTCTACTGTGTTTTTTTTATAAGTTTTATTTTAAAATTTCTTTAGCTTACATTTGTCTATTGTTTCCCTTTTACTCCAGGACAATAATGGCTCAGTTAAAGGTTTCCCAGGTGCAAAGGTTTGTGAAATGCTGTGAACAAAATAACCATGATTTTTACCTCTATGTAAGGTTTTGCTAATTTTTTATGGCAAATTAACATTTTTGCTTAGGTTTACTGACTCAAGGAAATGCTGCTCTATCGATTCTGGTCATCAAAGTCCTTAAATGATGAATAATGAAACGAACACTGGGGACATAAATTTTTTAATGAAGTAGCTCCTTCCTCCTAGAATATAAGCAAGTTGAAATGTTATATGCTGGTTTACCTGAGACCTTAAGAATGGATTAATGCTTTCAAGTTAACATTCTGTTCACCTCCTACTCAGTTGGAAAAAGTCTCAAAACCTGGTGCAGTCAACTGACATTAAATTATAAAATAAGTAATTGTAGACATTGGTTTTGAAACATATTCACTTTCATGCAATGTTTCAGATGACTGAGGAGAACCCCCTAGAAGGAGAATGTGACATTTTAGTTCCTGCAGCCAACGAAAAACAAATCACCCTTAAAAATGCCCACAAAATCAAAGCAAAGGTACTCTGTTACTAGAAGTATTTATTTAATAATATTTGATTTTTGGGCTGTTATTTGGTTGTTAGGTTTTCAAGCTTGGTTGCTCATTAGGGAGAAAGGTTATCCCAGTTTGTAGGGGAATGGGAATCTATAATAATTTGTCACAGGGTTTCCTGACATATTTGGTGATGTTAATTTTCGGTTGACCTTTTAACTATCATGAGTGACATTGACACAATTACTCCTTACAATATCAAGAAGACAAGTGATGAGTATAAAAAAATGTCAATCAGGGGCTCATTAGTTGATAAAGTTCGAAAATAAGGCACAAAGAAGAAGGAAGAAACACTCAACTGCATCACGTGTTTCTCCTTCGCTTCTTTCATGCTCTAGCTGCTTCTTGCTTGCTTTACAACAGAACAGAACATAGTCAAGACTTGTTTATTTGTTAAAAGTAATTACTAGACAAGTTCACCTTTATATGAATAGTAGAAAGTGGAGACCATCAGTTAAGTCTTTTTTTTCGTCTTCTTCGCCATATGAAATAGTGAAATATGACTGAGAGCCGAAATTGCAGTTTCCTTTCGACCTCGAACTCCCATCACGACCAATTTTACCTTTTTTTGAACTGCATAACTTTTTTCTTCTTCTTCTTTACTTGATTAGCTACCAGAGACAGCTCACCTTCATAGGCATTTTTTTATTGTTTAACACTTTTGGTGACCTCTTTGTATTGATTAAAGTCATTATGGGTTTTGAATGTCCCCTTAGATGCAAATGTATTGTACAAGTGCTGTTATTTGATAATCTCTTAGTGTTTCTGCATGTTTGTCTCTTCTTCGACAGGTAGCGTCCAAGAAAGCCTGTATAATCATTTCAAGGAAGCCATTCCAATCAAACCACCGGCTAAGTTCTTGCAAAAGATCGCTGTGAGCATTGCTTTATATTTTATTTAGTACTACGCACCACAGAGTTGGATCTGGGGATGGGTGCGATAACTCCGCGGCCCTTCCGCCTCCCCCCCCCTCCCTCACTGTGATGACCTACGGCTTTTTTATATCACTAGTATCCTGCTAAAATTTGTTTGCGTCCCCCTGTCAGTTACGTCCTTCCTTAGTGGTGCACTCCCCTCCTTAGAAGAATTCTGGATCCTTCTCGGCAACCTTCATACTCGATTGAGCAGTGCGAATTTTATTACATTTTTTACGACTCAGATGCCTGCAACCCAAATAAACCCCGCTTTTCTAGATGGGATGTTTATTCGGGGAAACCACTTGTCGATATTTTTACTCTCCCGTACGTTGCTTATTTGGGGGATGGTGCTTCATTGAAGGTGGTGCCTCATGAAGCAAACACGGTAATTATATATAATTTCGTCTGAATTCCCAACTGTCTAGTAAACCCTGAGCTGCAAGATTTGTACATGACTTTCCAATAAGATTTGTACTCTCCCAAAATGTAATGTAGTCTTTTAATTTTAAACTTTTGTAATCTTCTAGGGCGCGAATAAAAAAGATATTGTTCATTCTGGATTGGAGTTCACCATGGAACGATCAGCTAAGGTATGTCGTCACTGATTCGAGGTTTTCTTCACGAAATCACGTCCATATTTGTCCTTACCTTGGGTGCTGAGCCGTCAAAACAGGGCCCACGTTTGATATTTGGAAAACTGCGTCGAGTATATCACGTCATAACATACTGGTAGCATTCCTGGGAAATGAGTAATAAGTGAAAAACAAATTTCCCTTTTGGTCCGGTAGCAATAAGCAGTTATTGGATAGTTTGAGCATGACATTATACACTTAATGTATGGTCCCGAGGGAAACAGTTAGTTTTGTTTCCCCGAGAGTCCTGATGTTTCCCTCAAAAAAAAACAAAAGTAACTTATTTCCCGCGGGACCATACATTAAGTGCTTTGTTATATATTTAGACTTTCCCTTAAACAAATGAATAAAGGGGTAAGTTTCTAAAGAAACTGTGATGCTGCGTTGATGGGAGAGTATAGCAGGTAATTTAGTGTTAACAACTGAGTTGAAAACGTAAATTAGCTGCCGAAAAGGGTAAAAAAGCTGACGTTTCGAGCGTTAGCCCTTCGTCAGAGCGATTTCCCTTAAACAATCATGTGCTGGTGTATTCGGTGCGCAGGCAACAACTGCGCAATTGTATCCCGGTCGGGATACATTCGAATTTGATCAGGGGCACATGACCAAGAATCAACCTATCACAGTTCTCATTTTGTTGAGTGAAACTCTAGGTATATAACAATATGAATTATTTAAACCGAGGTCTGAGTCATCTGCCGAAACCGAAGGCTGAAGCAGATAAAACAAACGTGAGGTTTGGTAATTCATCGGATTTTTCAAAAATGTATCATAACGATGATGATAACATTAATGGACCACTCACCCAATGAAAATTTATAGGGCCAATACGTAAAAATTGTAAATAAGCTAAGGAAGGCGACCAGTTTGCTTTATATTAAGCGAGGCCAAGAAATTGAACTCAGGGCATCGAGAACAAATACAGTGATTTTGAACTTTGTCTTTTCTTCGAAAAAAAGTGAATTTAACTGTGATTTTTTCTTTTCTCTTTCAGCAAATTATGCATTGTGCTAGTGAGTACGAACTGGGTCTAGAAATAAGGACGGCTGCTTATATCGTGTCCATGGAAAAAGTCTACAACACATACACTGTGGCTGGTTTCACATTTACATAATCCTCTTGTGAAAATTGACAAGTGATTAATTCTTAGATAATTTTCATTTGGCCGAATTTATGAATTAGCTTTTCCATGGAGGATATTTATTGTTAAAGCACCTATTGTAGCGATCATGCGTTCAAATAAATAACGGAAAGCTCTTGTCACTTTTAATGGACTTGATTAGTTACTCCTAATTTCTTTGGGATTTTCTTAGGAAACCTGCGATCTTCCTTTTTTATGATTGAGATCTTGTTTTGCCACAATTTGAAGAAAACTATTATGATTATTTTACTGAGGAGTGGAAAAAAACCGCTCGTTTTAACTATTTATCTGATGTATTTTTCGTACTCCAGTTTTCCTTATTAAATTAAAATTCGTCATGGAGCGTACAGGGGCACAGGGGCGTAAAGAAATTCAAAACTCAAACATCTTTCTTAGCGCGCATTTCTTTTTGCACTATTGTGAGTTACTTAACACTCTATCTCCAACTAGTTAGTGTTCTTTCCTCTTGGACACCTCGACATGCACGTCTTTAATGTGCGGTAACATACCCTTTATGTACCACTTCTATTTACCTTTGTCGGTTTACAAAATTTTAATGGTGACTGGAGCTAAAGTAATGAACGTAATGAAAGAGACTCGTCCTTCAGGAAGTTGTACCACCTTCAAGCCCAGGGCTTCGCCCTTTCTTCCTGAGTAACCGAAGTGCGCATGCACAGTTATCTCGGAAATTAGTTCCGTGACTTGCATTGTCGTGATGTATTGTATCCGCCATGTTGGATCCTTAGAGGAATCAGTAAGCCTTTTGCAATAGGAGAGAAAATTACTGCCAACAGTCCTAGATTTAAAATGTCTGCCACTGAGTACAATAATTTACTCTTCGCCATAAGCCGGAAACTCGATGAACTGAATGCACTCGATCACCTTCTGTTCATGTGCAGAGGGAAGCTGGCGCCTGGCAGCGAAGGCAACATCCACGATACTCTGTCGTTGTGTAAAGAGTTGGAGGAAAATAACAATTTATGAATTGATCCTCTCCAGCTAATGAAAAGGCTGTTGAGGGGTGTTGAAGACTGGGCTCTTCTTGAAAAGGTGGGGAAATTCGAGTGCAAAAGAAAGGAATACAAGGCCTTGCTTGAAAAGGTTATTTCTTCACTCGACGCACTCAATGATTTGGAACGACTGATCGCGATATGCAGGGAAAGTGTTCGCGAAGGGAGTGAAGGAAACATTGAGGATGTTCGCTCGCTGTTTAGAGAACTGGAGAATCAAGACAATCTTGAGATTGACTATCTCGATGTTGTGAAGAACATTCTAGCTGAAACAGAGTCAAACGAGCTTTTGAAGGAACTTGAAGAGTTCGAAGAACGAAGAAATCAGGAAGATAAATCCGAAGCGAGGAAAGGTATTTCAATCTCTGTTTTCTGTTTTTAATGGTCAACAATAACTTTGATATGTTCTCGATGAAAAGTATAAAAAGCCCTTGGTATTTGTAGCGCTCTTGTCTTCTACAAGCTGTACATCATCCGGGTTTGAACGAGGAAATAATTAAAAATTTTTAAGTACGGCACACTATTAATCTTTGGTTGTAGGAAAACAACACAGCAAATAAATGCGACAAAATATGAGAGACAAGTTGTTCCTTTTTGTAGACACATAACAGTCTGGTCTAAAAGTCTGAAAGTCTCGCGTTTGTTTCGTATGTTGGTGGACTTGTTTCACTTACTCAGTTAACGTGCATGACGTGAAATCAACGCAATAATTGAACCGTGTTGAAAATTAACAATTGAGGATCTTGCGATAACCTCTCATACGCCCAACCGGAAACGTAAAATGATCTGATTAGTCCAATTTCGAGTAAGTAGCTCAATTTTTGCCCGAGACCTGTATTTTTAGATACTTTCCCGTGATTTAGCGCTTATCTGTTACCCTTTTTACGGCTATCCCGATTAAGAAAAGTTAAGAAAACTCACTATTGTAGTAAGTTCATGATTATTGTCTATAATATCGTCAATTATTTCAGTTTTGTCGGTTTATAAGGAATTTATGAGCTCTGATAGTACGTGCAGTGATTTGACGACCATTGACCGCATGGTATACTGATAAGTGGAAACGTTTAGATCAATTATTCCCGCTTCGCTCTTTGATTGTTTTGTTAATTACTGGTTGATTTAGTTAAGTAGATTGTATTGTGCATGTAATTTCAGATCGAATAAAAATCAGTTATACGATTGCGAGTATTCTTCGGTGACGGGTCGTCTTGGTTTTCTCGCGAAAAACTTAGCTCTCGAAATTTTCTGTTTACCAATTAGTAGAAGTTGACAATACTTACTGAATTAATCGCTTCGTTAGGCTCACGGTTATCTTTGCCACCAGACAATCAGCTGTCTTCATAAGATGAAATTCTATCTCATACAATTCTGATAAATTAATTGAAAAGAATTAACCCAATTTCAAATGTGAAATTTAAAAACGAGCACCAGAACTTTGAGGGCAACGCTTAAAAAAACTTATCTCTGTGATAGATGAGCAGGTCAGTTTGATCCCCAACAAACAAACTTACTTACGATCCTACTTGAAGTGCAAAATAGAAGAAGAAAAATAAAATAGAAGTAGAAAGATCCTGCGACAGCTTTTTTCTATGTGGGCAGGAAGAGTTGTAGTTCACTAAACTGACTGACACCTGCTGTTCCATTTATATAGCACAAAGAGCTGCTCTTATGTCATCCGTCAGAAGCACATTGGTAGGAGGTAAGCCAGTTAAAAAATTTTCCCGGTAAATTCTCTCAAAAGGGTTCACCCTGTACCTTTGACACGACAGTTTTAGTTAATAAGGGAGGAGAGGACGGGGCCGTTATCAAAGAGTCTTGGCTCCAACAAAGAGTCGACATGAAACGCATTCTTTTTTGCGGTTCGAATTAGTTGGAAAAACAACACCACTCTCCTTTGCTATTTAACCTGCTTAGAAAGAGTCATATCTCAAAACACATACATATTTTTTGATTTTCAGTGGTGAACATTAAAACAGTATTCAAAGCAGTTGCTGGCGGCCTCACAGTCGTTTCTGCCATGGAGGTGTTGAGTCGTTGGTCCTCATTTGATCAGCTGATTGCAGCCGTACAAACCTGTGTGCTTCCAGCCGGCACAAGGCTGGTTCAAATCACAGATGGCTGTGTGTGCCTCACAGTTAAAGCTGAAAGTTTATCAGCTCTTATTATTTTGTGGAAACTTTATCAGGATGGAACTCTTCAAAAACATCTGCACGATTTCTTTGTCACTGATGAGGTGAGAGAACTCGCCGATGGAGAGGATGTGGAGGTGAATGTCACCATCGATGAAGACGAATATCACAAAGCTTGTATCGAGTTGATGAATGGAGCTCAAGGTATTGTATGTTGTACAATTGATTTCTTGCTCCTGTCGCCTGCCCTTCTCAGTCAGCTAAAACGTTTTTAGCGTCCAGTTGATGGATTAGTGGTAGGTCGTGAGAGACTAGTGCAGTCGTGATAGAGTTCAGCGTAAAGCCTTCCCTTTCCCTAGTGAATTGAAACGTTTGTCAAAAGTTGCCATACAGTAACAGAGGCTTATAATTCGTGCGAAGGTGTATATCTATGTACTATGTAGTTTCGTTTGATATTCCCCAGCGTAACCATGAATAGAATCCTTCAAAACCTTTTTTTTCACAACCCGTTTGACATTCGTTAGGCGTATGAATTCACGATTGAAAGGGCAGTTTAGGGAAACGCATAATAATATCGAATGCATATCTGACAAAAAATGCATCTTTTATGCGATGGGGCGGTCTGGTTACATGCATTAACTCTTACCCCGTTCTATAATGTTTAACTGAATTTTTATCAGTTAGATTTTACCCTTAAAACGTCTACTTAATATTTTTTCTTCTTTCGACTTCTCTCAATGCTAATTTTTTTCTGAATCTCTAAAAATGTTTTTATAACAAGTAATATGGGAATCTGTGACTAGCCACACGCCATGGATTTCATAAAGTTAATGATGTGTGTTAATTGTAACTGATATTGGTATATTTTACATACTTTTGAGAAATTAGCCGGAAAAAAATCTATATCTGTGGACACTTCTTTGATCGCTTTCACCAAATCTATCTCCCGCCTCAGATCATAACACTAAGTAATGGTTTAGTATGTTGTCTCCGCAAACATTACTTCCTTCTATTTCTTTTGATTAGCTTGTTTGCCTGTTTTTGTTTTGTTTGTAGAAGTTGAAGTCGCTAGACAAGAGGAACGAACACGGAGAAACTCTGATTCAGTTCTGTATACTAGCGTCAAGGAGGAACTGTCAATGTTAAAGATCAAATGCGTCCAAGCAGCATTTCATCAGAGAATGGAAGTTATGGAGAAAGAAATTGAAGAGGTTTCTTTGAAGGTTTTTGGAGATCGTAGTGCTAAGAGGCAGCAAACCATATTCAGAAAAATACCCAACGAGCTTGAAGGTAACGATGTAAATAGTGTATGAGTGCATATTACAGCGTACTTGAAAGCTTAAAATCGATCTGAAGCGAATAGAAGAACACGAGTGTGATTCTTTCTCAGAGACCAAAGCGCAAGAACTTAAAGAAACCGAGAAAGGATTCGAAGAGCATCGATTGTGGCAACCACCTAAGGTCGAGCCAATGGATATGGAGAAGTTTTTCCATGTACAAAAGTATCTGGAAGATGTCCATGAAACTTGTAGTGTGACGACTGAGGCGAGTGACAGTGCTCTGAGTACACAAGCAACGGTATCCGAAATTGAAACAGAAGAAGTTAGCGGTAAGTTTACCCAAACTCTAGCCCTCTGAAAACTGATTGATTTTTAATAATATTTATTTATTACCGCAAGAGCAAACGTCAGTCTTGAAAATCCATAAATGCAAACTCCATGTTAATATACAGTATACCTTTTGAAAGCTATGGAGGGGCACATCAAAAACGACATCAGCGGCTTTGAAAGAATTTTCATTTTGAGCTAACTAGCTTTAAAAAACAAAGACCAAAAACGTAAGGAAGAAATGTTTCGTCCTTTAAATTTTACAGGTGCACAGCTTAATGTGAATTTAGTTTTACATCTGATTCAATGAGCATATCTTTACTATAATATAA